ATTATGATAATAACGAAGGTTGATGTCGTAGCTAGGGCTGGGCTTGTTCAGTTTTTAAAATTTATTTTTATTTTTGTTCGTTTGTTAAGTACGTTTTGAGCATGATTGCTTTCTCCGTTTTTTACGACAAGTCTAGGAGATTAAAGTGAAATTTCTTGCGGTATTGCTTGATTTTTTATATATTTTTTTTTATTAAAAATTGTGTGTTGCCACTTTCTCAAGTTTTAAAAGCTTCCTTCCATACGACTTTTTTGTACTGTCTCGCCTTTTACCTGAAGAGTTATACCTGCTTTTCACCAATATGGAGGGGGTGTCACAATTCCAGACAACGTGATAATAATACTGAGAAATGTTTAAAATCTGTAAAACTCCTATATTTCACTGCATGTCTCAAGAATTTAACGCAAATCACCAGAAGGACTGTCGAGCAAGGGTTTTCGCTTGCGACCTCCAAAAAAATAAGGCTGTCTCATCATCTTTGATCAAGTATTTTGCGGTAATCAAAATTAAAAGTAATGTAATGTATTTAAAATGTTTCCTTACAATCTCAAACACAACCTTGAATGCTTGAGCAGCTAAACCTAAATCAATGTTGATTTTTTCGCTTATGAAGTTTTGGAATTTCTTATACATGTTAGCGAACTCTTTGATTTATAATGTTACGTACAAAAGTGCAAAAAATAATATGACTGCAAGGTGTGGCTGGGCAACTCCGGTTCGGTTCCCACACGAAATAACCCTTTGTGCGATCTACAAATTGTTGTTCCGTAACTGGCTGTGATGTGCATGTAAATTGTATGATGTGATGTGTATGAGAAAGGGGAGAGGAGTGTATGAGGGAGGGGCAATGTTACAAACAAACTGGTGGATAGTTCGGTTATTGGTTTTGTAAGTATTGTATATGCGTTTTGTGAGAACGAGTTGTTTGTAATAATTTCCAGAGCTCTCCAAAAAAACCAGCAGACAGAAGATGTCAGAGTTTATCGCCTTGTACACTCGTAAGTGCATATATTACAATTATTAAAAATATTTAATTATAAAAAATATTAAAATTTGTATTGTACATACACAAATAGATAAATGAAATATAATATAAATATGTCATAATAATATTATAAATTAAGATTAAATTATAGGTATGGTACTTATTAAGAAGTTATTTATATGCTGTTTTCATTTAAATTTAGATCTAAGTATTAATAATCGAAATACTACATTTTTTGTTTCCATTCATTTAATATATTTTTTTTATTATTAATATTTTTAACAAAACAGAACAAAAAAAACAACTCACAAGAGCAAGCGCCGCCTGTTTGTGCTTCAGCGACGGACGGGCTGGCGCAGCCGTATCAATTCGTGGCAGAAAGTGATGGTAGTAACTAACATAATATATATACATTCGAATACATAAACTTAAGCTATTTACACGAACCACAGACCGTCCATTCTTCTATAGAAGATTGACTGTCGTTGGTTGGTGGCGGTGTGAAGAAGAAAACCTAAAGGTTTTATTCCTTTCTTCTCATCCTCAGAATACAGAACAACTGTATTCTGAGTTCTCATCGCTCATTTTAGGTTAAAGGATGTTTTATTCTTTTTTTCAGCATTGAAGCCAGACATTAGAACATCTATTATCAAATAGATTTAAGTTCATGTTCAGTTCTACAGATTTATCATATGAATTTCAATTTATTATAAAAATGAAAAAAAAACATAGTTAATAACATAGTTAAAAATTCCTAAAAAAATTTACTGGTATGTTTACCGGTTGAAACCTTTACGTAGTTATATCATAAAGATATTTATATTTTTAGAAAAATGTCTGGTGTTGCCCCAGTGTCTTGTAGCGAAATTGATGCGCATGCTATCAACGAAGAAACGAGAGTTCCTAAAAATGCGGAAATGTTTGATAAGCCAGCAGGTCAGTAAGTTAGCCAGTATGATTTATATCCTTAGTAGGAAACTACATGAGATACGTGTTGACAGTGAGTAATTGTGCCTTGTTTGGCCGTGATTGTTGATCTATCTATTTAAAACACAAAAACACCAGACGGATAACCTGATGGTAAGCAATGAACGCCGCCTATGGACACCCGCAATAATGGAGGATTTACGAGTGCGTTGTGTACGGATTTGGAAATTTTGAATTGGACGAGGGAAAGGATTATGGGCCTCCGGTAGTCACACTAAAACAACGCTAGGTTAGTTGCTACGGTCAAGCCGACCCATTCGTACCGAAGCTTGGCACTCCGACACTTTTTTCAAATTTCTATGAAAAAATGACTTTCCAGAACTCTCTACTGGAAAATTACGCGCAACTGAAGGAGTTGGAGGTACGTGCAGGGATCCCACACACAGACGATTCCCTGGGTGAAGTGCGTATAGTTTCCGTCAGCGACTGGCCAGCGCATGATCTGCTGTTACTCGTACGCAATGATCTTGAATTGCCCTTGCACTCTGAGATCAGTGGAATTTTTGGTGAGCTATGATATGAAAGAGTTTTATTTATTTACTTATTAAATAATTTATTATATTCCACATATTTGCACAGGGTGACTTACTAACATTGAGAGTACAATGCGTTATTATCGCACAAGGCGCGATCACTTAGACAATCTTTGGATGCAGCTGCAAAAGGGGGTCTGTAGGCATAGGCATATAGGCTCCATCCCTCTTTTTCGCCCGGAAGATTCAGGCTTTAACTCGTCATGGTAGGCTCTCTGTCGTTTTAAATTACATATTATTATGTTATCCGGTTTCCTCAGGTCCACATGTATTACAACAGATAACTGCGCAATTAAACCCAATTCCTGAAGAAATGTTAGCAGTTAGTGCAGAGATAATGGCTCGCCGGCTAGAGCTTCTCAATGTATTGAGAGGAAAACACCGCAGTGAACGAGCTATCTATCCCAATGTCAGTAAATCCACAATTGAAATATTTGAAACTTTATCTTAAAATATTAAATAGTTTATATTATTTTCTTGAATGTTTTAGAATCTAGAAATGAAATCAAAAAATTCTGAATTTGACAATGAAACGGAGAAACTACATAGATTAGTGGCAGGTACTGCAGAAAACCTGAAGGCTAAGATTAATTACTCTCTAGAATTGGCAAAGTATGTACGGGTTCTTTTTAATCTAAGTAACAAGATGTTTTACAACAAACAGTTATAACTTGGCGAAGTTGCATGCAAAGACACGTTGCTAGAAATAGCTCCAGCCCTCACTATGGCTTCGGCAGGCATCAATAACCTGACTGGATACCGTGAAAAAAGCCCCAAATGCGTTACACCTCTGCTTGCGTACGTGTGTATGTCATTGAACTCCTCCTAAACGGCTTGACCGATTTTAATATGCATTTTTTCTGCATGCGTTTGAGTAGCGCCCTGGATGGTTGAGACTAACAAATCAGCCCGGCAGATCGAGTTGATTGCTTGAAAAAGCATGTGATCTCGGAAGCGGCCCTAACGATTTCGCTGAAAATGTAGAAGTTTTTGGGGAGGGTCCGCTTTTTATAAATAATTGATTTTGACATTGAAATTGACATTTGATATTTAATTCACCATCCATTATTTTAGGATCCCTTGGATCGACCGAGAGCTCATGACGAAAAAAATTGAACGCCTTCATAAAGAAAACATGATATTGCAACATAAGATAGAAGAATATACTAATAAAAAGCATCCTGATGATACTAAGGAACTTGGACACATGGATATTGCTTCTAACCACCAGGTTGTTGTTTATTTAATTCGATAGTACAGCACACGAGCACAAGTATTACCTGATGGTCAGCAATCATAGTCGCCCATGGACACCCAACGGAGGAGTTATGAGGAGGTGTGGCCGACCTTTTGGGGATGATAAAGATTTCCGATCCCAAAGAAAAGGGGATAGATTTCGGCTCCTATTAACTCACTCACACGGCGAAACACAACGCTGTTATTGTTTCACGCCGGTTTTCTGTGAGGCCGTGGTTAAACGTCACGTAGCACAATGTACCAACATAATTATTTGTGTACAATGATAGTATTCATATTCACAGACCATATGTGAGGAGTTGGCGAAGGAACGTGCTGCGCGTGAAGCTCAGAAGGAAGTCGTTACGGCTGCTGAGAGTATGCTGCGAGTTGCACGCGCGCGCATCGCGACGCTCGAGCGGCAGCTGAAGGACACGTGCGCTGAACTCGAGGCGGCGCGCAAAAAACATAAAGACCTCGAGCAACTCGTAAACAGACTCGCACAACATACAAATACGACAGTGAAGTTGTAACACTACATTACAATCCCACTCTGAGGGATCGATTTAACAAATATACAAATTAATCTTATTTCACTTAGAGAATTGCAGGACAAAAAAATTAAAATCTTTGATCATTGTATACAATTCAAAATTAAATAGAGCTTTGTAAAATTTCAAATACTTTTTATCGAATTTTTACATTCTATATTTGAACAACGGTATGTTGTTTCAGTATCGTCATCGGGAGACTAGTTATGATGCACGTTCGAAGAGGTTAATTGAAGTTTCGAAAACAGGAGAAATAACAATTGAAACGTTATCACGTCAACGAGACGCCTTGGAACTTAGGTTATTTTTAGCATCCATATCGTTGAACGCATAAAATGATGTGTCTAATTATGATAATGATGACGAATAAATCTCAGGGTAAAGGAGCTCCGAGAGCAAGCTGAACAGGCGGAAAAATCTGCGGCTGCCAAAGAAGCAGAGCAACGAGCACGCGCCGAATCCCTTCAGGCGAAGGTAGCGGAACAGGTGCTAAGCCTTCGGGTCATCTTAAATCCAAACTTTACTTAAGAAGGGTTATTTGTAATGTATAAATGATGTTTAATACAATTGTTTTCACAGGAGAAAGTAAAAGCAGCAGCCGAAAATCGTGTCGTCGAATTGGATGCAAAAGTTAAAGAATTAGAAGAGCAGTTACAAGCTCTACGTGAGCGCTCTGTTAGATTAGTAGATATGGAGCGTCGACGTTGCCTCGAGTTCGTGCCTTTGAAGGGTAAGTTATGGGTAACTTCTAGGCCTAAAGACTTACGATACGAGGGTCAAACTGAAAGTTCTTAGAAAATCAAAAACTGATTACATTAGCCAGTTATTAGTTTTATTATATCTTTTCAAAATATTTTCCATTTACGTCAATACACCGACGAGGCGTTGTCGTGGTGAACGAGGATCCTACTGCGAGGTCGTTCCTCTCGAACTTTTTCCAAGACAAGTGGCAAACAATTGGTAGCGTACCATTCTGCAGAAACTGTTTTTGATCCTGTAACACAATTGTTGCGAAATGACCTATCCTTCCAAAGAACGAGACCACCAATTTCTTCCCGCACTTCAATCTCTCTTCACTTTAGTTGGCAACTCCTCGAAAGGAAACGCCCACTGAGCAGATTGTCTTTTGGTTTCAGGATCATAACAGTAAATCCAGCTTTCGTCACCTGTTAGTATGTCGAACATTTGAGTTACCTCCGTTAAATCTTTTAGTCATTTTACGGCACCAATCCACACGATGAAGTTTTTGAGCCTCAGCCAAATTATGAGGTATCTACCGGGCGCAAAGCTTCCTGACCGCTCAATGTTCGTGGAGGATTTTGTGCTCTTGACTCATACCGATGCCTAAGCTTGTCCTCATCATCATCATCATCATCATCATCACCATCATCATCATCATCATCATCATCATCATCATCATCATCATCATCATCACATCATCATCTCTGTGACTGTGTGTCAGTGACTCCCTTTTACAACCTTCTTAATTGGGTCTTATGCTCAGGTGAGCTCTATCCTCGTAATAGTCGAGCCAGCTAATTCCCCAATAAAGATTGGGTTCGACGTGACTTAGTCTTGACCATGTTTATTTGAAGCCTTTCTTGTTGGTAAATAGGATAGAGATCATCGAGATTTGTTCCTCAAAAGTTTCGAAGAAATGCCGTCTCCTTGCCTTACCCTACTTCCTAGAGAAATACCTCTCGTATTGAGATCATGTACTTTTACCGACACGGCGGACTTTTTGTGCAAACCTGGTGTTATGGTTAATATGGCATTGGAAAGGCCTTAATCACGTCAATGTCTTGATTGAATCAAGGGCTTTCTCATAGTTCGCAAACGCCATCCATAGTGGCAAGTTATATATTACTTCAGTTTATATTGCCGCAAGGTATGGATGTCGACTTTCCGGAAATTTTATTAGGACAACTAAAAGTCATAGAACCTACGTCCGAGCGAAATTCTCAAGAACAGATTAATGAATCAATCTTCCGAGCTCTAGTTACGGTGTTCTCTGTTGATTCTACCTAATACGTCTTTGTGAAACGATTCGGTTTGAATTCGACTTCCATAGTATATTAAGTTGTTTAAATATAGGAAAGTTTATATTTTTTTTATAATCAGTATCTTTAGGGTTTCTTTGTATTATTTTCAATTTTGTGTGTTAGTTATTTCTTTGTAATGTTACTACACTATTGTATTGGGAAACTCCTGTGATACTAGTTGTATGTCGGTAATAAATAAATTAAAATTAAAAAAAAATCTGCAACATGTAACTAAATGTAAAACCGGCAACACAGCTATACCCGAGTATGTATGCATTTCAGAAAATGATCCTTCAGATAGAGAAACGGAAATTTGGAAAGAACTCCAAGTGACTCGAGTGGCATTATCCAGGATGGAGGAAGAGCTTAGACAAAGTCGAGCAGATAAAGATAACTTTTTGAACTCGTTGTCTCGAATAGCGGTAAATATTGCCTATTAGACTGTGAATAAAAATACGAACGATAGTTATTAATAAATTGTGTCTCAAATTCTAGCAAGGAGAAGGAGTAGACTCTGTGCAGGAAAAAATCGCTACAGAGTTGCTAGATAAGGAACAAAAGATTTCCAAGTTGCAGCATGTTATTGAAGAACAACGTGAAAATGAAAAATTGATGTAAGTTCTAATGTAGCATAATAGCTCAACTAATTAGCTGAGCAGCTTTAGTAATCTCACTCAACCGCGAAACGATTTAAGTGTAGTTATACGCCAGTATTCTGTGAGGCTGTGTTGTACTCCGGTCGGGCCGGCTCATTCGTGCCAAAGCATTGCTCTCCCTTGCCTAAAAGTACATATGGGCGGCGAGCTGCCCTTACTCGCCGACCGCAGGCCCGTGCTTACGGTGGCCGGAGATCGTCCCTCGATCCCCGACGCCCGTAGTGTCGCCAGTTGCGGCTGCTGGGGCGTGAGGAGGAGGATTGCTCCCTCACGCGGGCCGCCTCTCTCTTTGCGAGCATGACTGCTTCACAAAAGGAGGAGACGGCGTCCCAGTTCCTCTCACTCCGCACCATGGCCTCGACAAAGGCCGGGCGCGAGAGGTCGCCGCCGCCGATCACTTCCCTGAGGATACGGAGGTACTCAGCCCAGGCAGGGCATACCGCTACCGTATGCTCCACCGTATCCTCTAGGTGGTCCTCACAATGACGACACTCGGGCGTTTCCTCCCGCTGGATCCGAAACAGGAACCTACCGAAGCTGCCGTGCCCGGTAAGCACCTGCGTCAAGCGGAAGGTGAGGACGCCGTGGCGTCTCTCAAGCCACTCCTCAAAGAGGGGTCTTACCGCTGCTATAGTAGCGTGCCCGGTGCTGCTTACTAGTTGAGATTCTCTTTAAAGAACAGATATAAATCTGTTTCGACTCTCGATGAAGTCTTCCCCAGAAATGTTCGCAAAGTCAGTGTAAAAGGCATCACCCGTGCGATCGGAAAGGCCATTTATGCCAAATCGGCTGACGGCGTCAGACTATCTGTCTGACGTAACCGTGCTACCGTGGCAGTGCTACCAGCGCTTTCCACTTGAATCAATCGCCTTTGCCTAACGGTCTGTTAGGCAAAGTAATACTCTTGTTTTGGTCCGCTCGCTGATGACTTGTGATGAATTTACATGAATAAAAATGAGTAGCATACTAATGGCCTTACTTCCTTAGATTTTGTGCCGGATTGCAAAAGTACTGTTAACTTTTTGTCACATAATTGAATCCTGTGTACATGTTGTTCTCTTGAAATTAAGTTTCACATTAAAAACTTTACCTATAAAATTTCTTCAACAATTCAGAACTCAAGGTGAGTTGCATATGGAATATACATTTATAAATGCATTTTTTATTACAGGGAGCAAAGTATGACACAGTATGAGAACCAGCTTGCAGCTCTACGCTTAGAAGTGAAACGTTTACGGAATTATGAGGGTTATGCTAAAGAAGTCCCCTATCAAGAACTGCATACCGAGGTTCATTATTTTGTAACACACGGAGAGTTTGTTACAAATTATTGGTTTTGCTAAAATATAACTTGCTTCATGTTTTTTAGCTATTGGATTTACACATGCAAGTGGATACACTTTCCCGAGAACGTACTGCGTTGGTAACGGCTGCGGCTTCTCGCGCCCTTATGTTGGAGCGACATGAGCGCGCGGCTGACTTGTTCGCGCGGATGATTCGTGCCCGTCGGGAACTGTCGGCACTACTCGATGGTCGCAAAGACCCTCCTCCTCTCGACGAGACTACTCATTCCGAGGTTATATTTATTTATGTATTTAAATACTTTGTACACATTATTGTAAAACGGTGGACTTAATGCCTTCCAGTCTACCTTAGAGTGATACCGAGACACAGGTCACAGGTCATGGCAGGAGCTACTGGTTAAAGGACAAGAGGTTATATTATAATATTATGGCCGTCATAATGAAGCTGAAACACGAACTAGTTAGTAAGCAATGAAATCATTTAGATATTACCTATTTATTATCTGCTTCATTATGGTGGATTGTACGCTATATAGTATTTTAGCATAACATTTGACCGTTGTTATTCTATAGCATGTAGGTAAGAATGGCCATACCTAACTTCAGTAGATAGAGAGATAAAGAGCGGATAGTTATGATTATGATGTTGGTGATGTTATGATGATTTTCCATAGGTGTCACGATCGTTGTCGTCTGTTTGCGCAAGCGCAGCCGACACGTGGACTGCATTGCGAGCAGAACGCGCGCGCGTCTTGCGGCTGGAGAGCGCGGTGCTCGCGCAGAGCATGCAGCTGGAGCGCGAGGGACGCGTGCGTACACAGCTCGAGAGACGCAAAACTATACTAGAGAGAGAAATCATGAGATCAACACTCGATGGGTCTGCAGATCCATCAGTATTGAATCCCATAAAAAATCCAAGTTTAGTATTCTCTCAATCAATTTTGGTTTGACGGTTTTGCATTGAACCTTCTTTTTGCATTGGACAGGGTATGCGCGCTTGTGCGCGTATATGTGAATATACCTATGTGAAAGACATTTTCGACTTTTTTTGAAACTGTACAATAATGATTTGTCTTTGGCTTTCAGGTTTAGGAAATTCGTGAATATGAAACAAAGATGACGCTTCCACCATTTTAAATTATTAGTTGAGCTGCATGTTATTTTGTCAATAAATCGTGTAATTAAGTCGCACATTAGAAAATTTTATTTCTATTAAACGCAGGACATATTTGGATGCTAAATATAGTACAACACATACACATATGTAACTACTATAATCACAACACTCAAAGCCGATGTCCGGCAATTTTAAACATCTTGCACTTTTTTTCGTCACGCAGTTGATTACTGGTTAGTATATTTCTAGATAACAAATTATTTTTGAGATGATTACTAGCTGGGAGCAGCCCTTTGAAAGGTTGATAGATGTTGTCTTTTATCGTCGGAGGATTGGGCATATGGGGCTCTGTCGAAGGCGCCCATTTCTGTGTATCAATTTTTGTAATAGCTTTTTTACGATCTAGATTGTCACCTTTAAATTGCTCTTCATTTGTTGATATGTACGTTTTCGTAACGAAGTTGCCCAATTTGGTTGGGAGCGCTTCTTGGTCGTTTTGATAAATGGCCTGGTTGTTTCCTTTGTGATATTCAAAGTTGTCTCTTCTATGATCACCTAAATATTTGTTTTTCATCGGAAAATCGCGTTCTTTATTTATGTTGTTTAATGACGGCTCAAATGGAGTTCCCAACTCATCTTCTAGAATTTTTATTATACTATCTAAATTATTGGCTGGAACTTCAATGTGCCTATTTTCCATGTGGTAAGCCTCGTATTCACCTATTTTTTGCTCTAACAGTTTAATCTTGTCTTGATCCTTTCTTCTTTGCATGCTAGCTTTACGTGTTTGATCCTCTAACGTCAAAATTATTTTCTCTAATTGAGATATTTGCTGTTTTCTCGTTTCAACATTTGTGATAAGAGTTTCAATCTCTGCATTTTTGTCTGTAATTTGCTGGTTGAGCTGTTGACAATAATATACATTAAGACTTTCTATAATACCTAAATTATCTTCCGTTTTATTGTAAATTAGGTTAACCTTATTTGTTTTAAACCACCTACGTGAATGATTGTCCTACATACTGCAATGTAATTATAACCAGGTACGAATAGTATTAGAATATCATAAGGCTTTTTATTAGTGACGAGTGTAAATTATTTTAAAAGGTAAACCCAAATACACATGCATATCTAATCAATTATACTTTAAAAGCGTAAGAATGTAACGAATATATAAAGCCAATTGTGCAAGACATACACCCAGTATGTCTTGCACAATTGCGACAAGTACAAAATTAATATAGTAAAACTGAAACCAATACGTTATAATGTATATGTTTACAATAATGGTGCAACTATTATAACGAACTAAGGAAGTTAAAATGAAAATATACTTCTTCTGCGTTATCATGCATTACTTTACTTACATCAATATCTGCTTGATTCCTCATTTCCAAATTAGTCCTTAAAAGTTTTATAATATTAGTTTGTTCTTCATCTTTCTCTGATAACATCTTTATAACAGCATTTCTTTGATCTAGAAGCTGTTCTTGTTCACTAAATGTGTCCAAATGTCGCTCCAGTTCCATATCTTTCTTTTGTAAAGCTTCAGAAAGTTCTTCATTTTGTCTGGTCACTTCTAACAACTTGGCTCGTTGCTGATTCACCTAAATATGTTTTTATTACAAGGCGCAAAACATATCATAATGTATTTTGCTTACTCATTATCTAAATCTAGCTTTTTCAATGAGTAAAATCATAGTACATATGGTCTTGCTTACCATTTCATGAAGTTCATTTAGGTTCTCGAATTCACCAAAATCTTCTTGCAACTCCGCAATGTGTGATTTTAGAGAAGACAATTGTTCTTCATATGATCCCATTTTGCATTCGCTACAAAATAACCAACAATATTAATTTCATCAATCAGTTTTACGCGTTAATTTGAATTTTTACATATACAACGAAAAAAGTGTGTGGTGGTCCGCAGGTGTAAAAGTGTAAAAGTGTACGGGGAGTAAAGAGAGAATGGAATACCAACTTTGCCTACCCAACTGCACGTGCCAAAGGGCCACGGTTATCAACTAATTGCCGTGGTGCTTCCAGCTAGATAACGAACGGGGCTCTGGCGACCGGGAAACCACTACACTAACATCTCACGAGAGTCATGGAAAGATCGTATAAGAAGAATTGTATGCCTGACGACCCGCCTACCGACCGGCGCTCTGAGCTGTCCGGGAGCCAGAGTGTGAAATTGGTTACCGGCCATGTGGCAGCAGGCGACCAGGCGCCGCATGGAAACTAAGTTACTGGAAACGTAAAAAATTACGAAATAACATCCGCGTCAGAACATGGAATGTAAGAGGCCTGAATAACCAGGGAAAGCTCCATGTCTTAGACCACGAACTCCAACGATGTAATGCTTTTATTACAGGACTAAGCGAGACGCATTGGATAGACAGACAAGTTTTGCTAGAGTGGCCATAGCAGTACTCATACCTTGGGTGGGGTCTGTGGTTATAATCCCGTCAATGAGAGGATCATCACCATTAAACTCTCCGCTTCACCATGCGCGCTGAATATCATCCAGTTGTATGCCCCCACAAGTACCGCTGCAGAAGAAGACATCGAGGACTTTTACAACAAGCTTGAGCTTAATAACATCCCAAAAATAGAGATCCTGATGATTATCGGCGACTTTAGTGCGGCGGTTAAAGTGGAAACCACTGCACATGATAAGGGCTAGCGGAACATCATAGGTCGGTACGGTCTTGGCTACAGGTACAGTAGAGGAGTGCCTAATTCAATTTGCAGTCTTCAAACACCACCCAAGAATACTGTATACGAGGACCTCGCCAAATGGAGCATATCGAAATCAGATTGATTATATACTGATCAGAACAACATGGAGGAGTTCAATAACCAACACGCACACATTGCCGGGAACTGATGTCATGTCCGACCACCAACTACTTGTGTGTAACATGAGGATCAGATTACGCAAATAACTAAGAAAACGTCCAAACGTTTGGAGGTCATTGATGCGGACTCTTATATACAATCGTTGCAAGAAAAAGAGAAGTACTGGCACGAAAACTATGGCACAGAAAGAACGTCGACTACCTTTGGGAATCCGCTGTGCAGCTCATAAAAGATGCTGCACGTGACTCGCAACCTATCGCAAGGTCTGAAAAAAGACAGCACTGGATGTCAGCTGATACCTGGAAATTGATCAGAGAACAGAGGGACCTGAAAGCTAATGGTGCTACGATACATATACAAGCCGAGACCGAAATACAGCTCTGCAATCGATTTGTGAAGAGGTTGAAAGACATAATCAAAAGTTTGAAACGAAAGATTTACATAAGAAAATCGGACTTATAACCCGTCAGTTTAAACCAAAGACTTGGGCCATTGAGAATGTTTCTGGAAACAACGTCACAGAGATAAGGGAGATACTGTAAGGGTCTTTTCGCTGACGTGACAAACGACATCACTACGCCCCATGATGTTACGCTTAGAGCAAGAGCCAATGCCACTGAAAGATGAAGTGCGAGCAGCGATTAAACACCTTAAGCGGAATAAGGCTGTAGGTTTTGATGAAATCCCGATCGACTCTATATTTATCCCACTCCATAAAAAAGGATCAACAAAGAAGTGCAGTAACTATAGGCTAATTTCGCTCATATCCCACGCTAGCAAAATAATGCTGCATATTATCAACACAAGGCTCCAAGCATACTTGTCCCGAGAAATTGCACCCGAGCAAGCTGGCTTTGTGAAAGGTCGAGGCACAAGAGAACAGCTACTTATAATGCCTCAGATTGTGGAGAAAGCTAGAGAGTTCAACATTGCCATCTATGTATGTTTCGTTGACTTCAGAATAGCTTTCTACAGCGTGAAGTGGCGGAAACTCTGGCAGGTCCTGACGGAAATAGGTGTACCATAAACCTTAGTTACCTCATTAGACGTCTATATCAAGAAGGCACAGCACCGTGTTGATGGTGTTGACACTGAACGTTTCAAAACGCAGGCTGGTGTTAGACAGGGCTGTATATTTTCACCTCTGTTATTCAATATATACACTGAGTACATAATGCGGATTTTTCTCGAAGACTGGAACAATCTAAGTTATGCCGATGACACTACCCTCCTAGCGTTAAGTAGAGGCGAAAAAATCCGGAGACGCTGCGCCATGAGGAGATCATCAGAGGAAAAACTCTCAAAAATTTGGAAAGACCGTAGAAGAACCAAAAACACTAAGGTTCGATTGATGAAATGCTTGGTCTTTCCTATTTTTCTATATGGAGCTTAGACGTGGACGCTGAGGATGCAGGACCGTCGCAAGATTGACGCACTGGAAATGTGGTGCTGGAGACGCATGCTTAGAATTCGATAGACCGCGCACCGAACCAATATATCGATCCGCACAGAACTCAATATCAGAGAGAGATTATCGTTGTGTGTGCAAATACGAATTCTCAAGTTCTTCGGGCATATCACCCGTAACGAGGACACAATGGAGCGAATGGTAGTGCAAGGGAAAGTTGAGGGTAAAAGATCACGTGGACGCTCTCCAACACGATGGACAGACTTCATCAAATCGGTGACGCATTGCAGCGTCAACGAAAACTCCCTAGCCGCCAAACATAGAAGTTCATGGCGTCGCATCGCAAGAGAGGCGGTGGTGGCGCAAGACTCGACTGACACATGACCACGACCACTATCAAGAGTGCACGACTAGAAGAGGCCCGCAGGTTAAGTAGCGATTTTGAAACCTGGCAAGTACCAATGTCACTTTTTAGAGAATATCATGAGGAAACCTGGACATATAAGAGGTAAAAAGATGTCGATATGTGTAAAACCTTATCATATAAAACCTAATAAATAAGTTGAACGAGTTTAAATTTACCTTTCTTGTAATTGGTGTTCTAATAACGATTGTTTCTTTTCAAGTTCGGCAATATACTCTTCCCTGCTAAATAGAGTATTTTTCAAAGTTTCTTCCAAACTTATTGACTCTTTGATATTATTCTGGAAAATTATGAAAGCAAATGTGTTAAGTAAATTCTACTTTATTGCTATGTAAGGAAAAGATAATTAAAGGTCGTTACCCTACCTCAAACTCTTTTATCGTTTCACTTTGTTCATTCAGCCTTGTTCTATAATCTTTAATTTGTGTTGTTGCTTCCTCTAAATCTCGTTTAGCCGCTAATAACTCTTGTTCAAATGTCACTGCGTTATCTATAAACAGTTTATGAATATTTTAAAGTTCTATAGTTTAGAAATTAAATATTATACGCACAAAACTTACTTATTTTATTTCTCGTCTCCTGCAACTCTTTTGCCAATTCTTTTGCTCCAAGTTCGGTTTCTAATAATTGGTTGCACACTGCCTCCAATCTTTCTTCAACCTTTTTTCTTTCTTCTCTCTCTTCTTCGTATTTTTTTTCAGTTTCAATATGCTTAGCTACATTTATATTCATATCATGTTTTAAAGCCTGAAGCGATTCATTATAATAATTCGACAGGTCACCGAGCCGCTTCTCTAAATCTTCCTTTCTGTAAAAATAAATCAATATTACGTTTAAACGTATGTAGGTCCAAATTGTAAAACGTAAAATCATTTTACTTTGGAATGTGTTGTGTATGACTTACTCAGCTTGTAATTTTTCACGAGCTTCTCCAATCTCTTCCAAATGCGTCGTGTTTTCTCTGATAGATTCTCTTAATTTGTTAAGTTCATTATCAAATTCGGTTTGTAGTTTTCGGTTCTGAAATTTAGTTTTTTCTGTCAATAACTTGAAGAAGAAACATATTATTATGAAATATGCCCTGCAAGCTTTGGAAGCAACTTTTTTAAATTAAATAGTCGTAGAAGTCGTTAAAATATTTCGCTATGTTTAATAGGACTCGGGCAGAGGGCGAAACTGCGCGTGCTAGAATCTGATAAAATCTACTTATATCTTTTTTTATGTTTCACTATCACTGAACTAAAAAATTTTATTTAAATCAGTTGGTTGTTATAAAAAATAAAGACTCGAGGGATTTTACCGCTTATTTCGCGTTTCATTAGGAAAACCCTTTTGCAGATCTCAAACGATAGTTCTTTTATTATAGTAATTCATATTTTGTGAAAAAATAATAACTGAGCAATTTTGAATGTTTTAAAATATTGTCGGGTTCCAAACACCGAAATTCACCTAAATTTGGTGATAGTGATTTAAAGCATAAAGTCGGTGGAGGGAATTTAAACTATTTGTTTAAGGGAATGAAAACTATACCTTAACTAACTTTTACCGATTACGATGAAGTTTTGAATGGTTCTCGGGAACAAAAAATCAAAGAAGCTAATTTTTTTAAAGTCTATTAAAGCTCAATCATCGGGATACTATTATAGATGATATATATTATTTATATTGCGGTCTGACCTGGTCATGTAATTGTTGGACGGTGCGTTCCAGCGTCCAGATCTGTGACCGTGCCTGTTCAAGAGCTGCTTCTAATTGAGACGCGCGCTCTGTACCCATCTTGATTTGACCCTCCGCTCGAGATAAACGGTCCTTTATAAATATTTTCTTACACTTCTCTTCCTTGAGTTCCTTTTCAAGCTCCTGTTCCATATTATTATTAATGAAGATCTATTATCCGATTCTCATTCCTAGTTACTAGCTTTAAAATTAATTTAAAACAAAATAACTTACTTCAACTTTGTTTTTATTTATCTGTGACCGCAGGTGATCGGAATTATGGATCTGTTTTCGTAAATCACAATTCTGTGAATTAAGATCAGACAACTCGCATGTCAGCTCCTCTATGCGCAGTTGTAGGGCAACTGTGTCGTTCGCAGTTTTTCTGCAAATGTATTATTTTAATGATTTTCACTTAACAAAAAAATTAAACAGACTTTAAAAACCAAAACTAAAGAACCAACACCCCTAAAAACTAAAAACCAAAAGTAATTTTAAAAGTCGACGTAATGATGTCCACCTTTAACAAAATATCCATTAAAATAAAAAAAGGCATTTATTGGTTTTCAATTTATTGTTTTGTAAAAAATGAATCACGCAAATCGGTTCGTAAACTGCAACGAAATTGGCTTAAGTACCACCACACCACACCGCCCATGTCTCCGCCCCCTGCGGTGCCCAATGCCACAATGACGGCAACGGTGAAGGAGGAGGCTCTCTCCTACCTTACATGTGGGACCTTACCTTACCTTTGCTAACGTCTTGGGAAGTGGATTATTTAGTAAAATACCAAGATTTCTTGTAAACATACAAACCTCAAAAACTCTATTATGTCGGTCAATTCTTTGAGAAACTCTCCTTTAGCTTGTCCCAAAGAGCACTTTAACATTTCATTCTCTGCATTGAATTCATTTATCTTCTTGGATAGTTTGTGCATGCCAATACCCTAAAATGAAATCATAGCGACTTCGACTTAAAGTTTCTTATTTTTGGTTTCTTGGCCTTTAAATAATATGTATTACTAGACTTATGTAAGATGAAAACCATGTACCTTTTCCTCCGTTTTCAAAGTTTCAAACCAATCTATTATCTCCTTTCTCTTAAAAAGGGTTTGTTCACAAGTGGCAACTAACTTCGAAGGCATATTATATAACTTGTTCAAGTCCACGGTCAGTGGTGTTTTAGTTGATGACTGACTACCTGGATGAACAATTTTTCTTTTAGTGTTTTGTGACTACCTTTAATTACAAATTAAATACTGGTGAAAATTACGTATACCTTTAATATTCCTATCAGACTGAGGGACAGAGCAGAGGTGTAGCAGCTGATCTGCAGTCAGCTTGGCTACATTCATGATGTGCAAGTCATCAGGAGGTGGCAGGATCACCTTATGTCCCAGACCAGTCATCTTTTGGTGGGTATTTCGCATTAGCGCATAAAACTCCATAATGGCTTTCTGTGGTCAAAGTTTTAACATTTAGTTTTTCATTTTAATTATCTGTAAAGGTATTAATCAAGTTCAACATTTTTTATTAAAGCTTACCTGACGGTCCCTTAAATCTTTTTTCATTTGATCAAACTGCGCAATGTTCTCCTGCCAATTTTTTTTAAGTTTAACCACTTTTTCGCCTCGGGAACATAATGAATCTGAGAACAAACCAACAACAAAAAAATGATAACGTGAAAAAAGCCACAATACAATAACGTTTAATATGAAAATAGAATTTACCTACTAATTACCTAAACTACAGAAAAGCTTTAGAGAATATTACTAAACTAGCTACCGCCCGCGGCTTCGCCCACGTGGTATGTTGATAAAAAGTAGCTTATGTCCTTTTCCGGAGTGTATCCTATGCCTGTGCAAATTTCATCCAGATCCGTCCAGCCGTTTTGGCTTGATTGAGTAACAAACATCCAAACATCGTAACTTTAGCATTTATAATATTAGTAAGAAGTAAGATAGAAGTTTTTATTGAGCTAATAAAAGTTACAAGTCTCAACGAGACTGATACGAAGGCCAACAGCCACCTGTCCTTAGCCAACACAAACCGATAACAGGATAAACAAATTCCATACGTCTATTGGTTAAAGCCAGCTGACGAAATTGGAAGCGGAGTATGAACGCGATAAGAACTAAAGTTTTGAAGCTGGCTGACATGATGATGATGTGTCTTAATATATATAATATTTTATATTTAGCATATAACATCAATTGCCTTAATATAAGGCTGATATTCAAAAGTATAAAATTCCCGTAGTTTATCTATGAAAACTAGGGGAATTTTGTCAGTGGAACATATTCCCTACCCAAACCATAACTATAAGCGTGAGTTGACGATATGATGATGATCAGATGTTGCACTAATTTAGCATTTAATTATCGCATAACTCACTAACTGACCAAAAATGTAACAAAACGCGTTCCATTTTTGAGTTTTTTCCACTGATAGATAGCTACAATGTTCCTGAGTACCATCTATACTAATATTATAGAGGTAGTAAGTTTGTATGTAGGGAGTAATCTTTGGAACCGCTGGTCGGATATCCAAAATTCTTTAACCGATAGATAGCTACAATGTTTCTGAGTGCTAAATGCTATAAAACATCACGCTACGATTAAATGGAGCCGAGCAGCTGGTGAATCCGCGTAAGAGTAGCTAGTTGAGTTATAATATTACAACGAAAAGTGGTATTATTTTAATATAAATATATATTGTTTAAAAGAGTTTAAACTGTTTTAAACTGTTTACTATTGTATCAGAATGATAAACAAGGGAGTATCTATGTAATATAACTTTATTAATAAGACCAAAAGATGTTATGTAGGTATTTTAAAGCAACAAGCAAAATAATTATACCTTTGTCAGTAATTGTCGGCCCGTCTATATCGTTTAAATCTTCACACCTTTCCTGGTTTTCTATTGTTTGCTGAAAATGAAAATGAACAGAAATTGAATGGTTACAACTTGTCAGCAATTCGAACAAACAATGCTCGGTCACTCGGGATTATACTCCTTGAGTAACGGTATTCAAATTAAAAATCTTCAGGCGAATGGCTGGTTCGTTCAACATCATCGTCGTTATTGTTTTTATTAGGGCACAAATTTATCCAATAACTTGTCGCTGGGAAGCACGAGAGTGCCAGACTTTCAATAAAAACCGTCCCGGTCCTTCTACGGCACGGACCGGAGCCGTAATTTTTAGTACTTATGAAGTGCAACCCTGGCTATTTTGTTATTGTTAGGTACGTCTAAGATTAATGCTAAATATTACATTAGGTGAACTCATCACTTTACCTGATCTGGTAAGTCATTGCGCACATTTTTAAGTTGATTTCTCTGTGAAAGACGAAATAGATTAGGAGAAGATTTCAATTTAACCAGTTCAAATAACTTGAAATTCATAATATTAATTAAAAAGAGTGAGGCCAAATGAGACGCCATGCCATGGCAGCTCTTTGTGCGAAAACCGAACCCATCACTTAGCACAATAGGTCGACTATTCTCTGCATCAACCGCAGAATCAAACTCACGTCAAAGCTTGAGTTTTATATATTCTCAGAGACACGGACAATACGTAATGATATCCAGGGAATGGTAATAGACCCATATATGACACACTGGAGAAAAGTCACAGTTGCATTAAATATTTGCGGATCCTACATATATCTTCCAGCAATAAAGGCTTGATGTTTACCTGCGAGTTAGCAGTGGGGACTGTTATAACTGGTCTCGCCGATGATTTTTGCGGTGGACAGTGATCCACAAATTTTTTTGGAATTGTGGATGGCCTCTGAAAAAATATTTGATTTTGCAGCCGCTAACAATTTGTGACATAGCAAAGGACAATGGGAATCGTGCCATGGTTCCACTGCCATGTATGATGATGTGGATATGTGAAAACTTTAGAATTTAGAATTCAATTTCTACCTTATTCATGCACTTGGTTATGAATGATTAGGAGGAACTTCATACTTTCGAGATTTTTTCGAGTATTGGTGAGATTAAATCACCAATCAAATACATTATTGTTTTTTCATTAGTTTGCTAAAGAAACCTCTCAACCCTCTGTTCACATCTGATTGACGTAAATACCAATTTTGTGTAAGATATCATCATCATAGTATAAGACAAAGTCGCTTTCTCTGTTTCTTTATGTGTCTTTAAAACTATGCAATGGATTTTGGTGTCAATTTTTTATAGATAGAATTTTTGGACTTTCACGAATAATTTAACTTTTAATGTGATTGATTACCTTAAGGGGTAGAGTAAATCGGTCGCGATCTGGTCTGAGAGAGCGCATCGCTGGGTGCACGGTCCTTCCTATGCCCAAATCATCTTTTATACGATTCGCAGACTTTGGTCTTGACTGACGACAATATGAAACATCACCGATAAGAAAATTTACTTTCAAATTTGAAATAAAACTTAATTTTTTCGGAAATTCGGTACAAAATTTAAAATATGTATTAAAATTTACGATATAAAAATAATAGGAACTGACCTCGTCAGAGCGTGGCCGCACTGGGTTTTTGACAGGAAACCGGGGCTGTGGAATAGTAGCTGGTTCGTATTTTGGCCTCTGAAGCAAATATTTATAATCTTTACAGATTTTTTATTTAATTTCTTAACTAGCTTTTGCCCGCTGCTTCGCCCGCGTGATATTAGGGTTGCCCTTTCCGAGATTAGAAGTAGCTTATGTCCTTTTCCGGGATGTATCCTATGCCTGTGGCGTTTTGGCGTGATTGAGTAACAAACATCCAAACATCGTAACTTTCGTATTTATAATACCAGTAACATTATTGTTTTTGATAAACAGGGTATATAAAATCTTAGTATAAAATGGATCTAAAATGTATCTAACGTATAACTACTTATTAGTGAATGGTGTGCAATAAAGTATATAAAATAAGTCAATGTATTTTCTTTCCTAAAACTTCGTAATAACTTTGAATTCTAGGTAAATACAACTGGGTTACTGACTTCTCGTCTTGTGCTTTTTTGGCTCAAGTTGATGAAGGTTTTGAGATAAAAAGGACAAAGAACAAAGGGAAAGAGCCTGTGGAATGTGCATTCTTAGCAATACAGGTTAAAACTCTGGCCCAACCTACCGTAAAATCTGTTATAGGTTTGGGTTTATTAGGTTGAGTCCTTAGCCGTCCAACAGGTAACCTCTGTGGTATTCGACACCGGATTGGTCCTTTCGATTCTATAACATCTGCAAAAATATCAATATTGTTAAAATGGAAATTAGGATATATTTTTTTTTACTTTATGTACTAATTATAATTTTATTCAGAAGATAAGATAATAGCAGTTGGCACATCGAATGATGTCAATAGGTACATAATGTACGTAACTACCACTGAATCCACCTTAAAAATACTGTTACCATTCATACTGCCTTAATGCGACTACACATTAGGTGAAAAGGTACAAAAAGATATAGTTAATATTGTATACATGAATTAATCTTTTATGTTCGATTCCATTCATGTAGCCACAGGGTCTCGCATATTTGAAAGGCTGCCAGGAGCCGAAGCTAACTTCAATACATATCGGTGAAATGGGACATCAGTCGGAAATTAGGCCTTTAGCATTTGACTGTCGACAAAAACTGTTGAAGACTAACCCTACGCTGAGCGTCGGACACCATTGGCCGACATGGCGTTCTGCACTAATTATATATACTGAAATACATATGGGCAAAACTGAAACATTATTTTTATAATATTGTTTCATGTGCTAAAACCTGTTACTAACATTAATACTTTATTCACACACTTCACACGCGCCTCATAAAGCAAATAGACCACCATAGACGCGGTGGCAGGTAAAGCAAACGCAAAACGAACGGGTGGGGGGAGGCTTGGGGGGTTCAGTCAATAAGAGTCTAACAACACCCTCTCACCTCATTCTGGGCGCGAATAACATATATATTTGTGTCTTATGAGCCTAGTAAGCCTTGTTGCTTGACAACTAGCCTAAAATTTTAGCAGGTAGCCTAACAATTTTTATATTCCATGCTTCCACCCTACCGTTGAGTCTTCTTGTCAGCTTTCACTGTAATAGGGTTAATGTCACCACATACCTTGCCTTGGTTCACCGGTCACCAACAGGGACATGTTTCATTGCCTGACTTGTAAATTTTTACCAGGAGTGCACTTTGGTACGTACTTTAAATATAATATTATATTAATATGTAAATTAACAAGAACTACAAAAAATTTATATCACATCAGTTCCAAAAGTAAATGACTTGTGGTTTTCATTTTGTGTAATAAAGTTTTGAAAGAAGAAATATTGGCAGGCATTCCAGCCAGAGCTGTATCTACCATCTGCTAATGTTCTCACTTCAAATAGTTCATATAAGATTATAAAGGTACCAAAAAGTTTAACATTGAATCGATTATTTTCTTTGTAACCAACGGCCATTAAACATTTGATCTGCCCAATTTCAAATTTAGAACCCCCATCCATCATCACCGATCACGCAAATTGTTAAAATATAATAATATCAAAATTTCAAAAGTTTTCTTTTACATTTTATAATACCATTTTACAGCTGTAGAGTTTATTATGACGACTGCGGCAAAATCACAAAAGGATAAGCCTTGTGAGTATCTGTGTTTCATGTTGATTCGTCGACCATTTGATTGAATTCCACTTAGAAAGGTTGGCTGAGTTTTGGGACTATTTTTATAAAGGACGTCTCGGTGACTTTATGTTGTCAACTCGTGTTACCAAATTATACCCTTAGTAGACCTTCACCTTACAAAGAGTCACCTTGAAAATGAATTCAATAATTAATAACTACGAGCTAGTACCGCAAAGAAACCAAAAAAAATGTATAAGTAAACAAAAAAGCTATTTTGACAGTTGGGACCAATCCTCGATTAGTCCCGAGGCCTACGGCTGCCTCCGCTGCGCGCGCTGCTCGTAATGCCACCAATAGGAATCTGTCGATGCCCACTCAGAGGCAATCTCCGACACGAAACCCTAACTGTCCTAAGGTAATTATTGCATTTTTTTCTTATCTTAATTCATATTTTGTAGAAAAAAAATCTCTTTAACAGTATGTTTGCAGGTGAAGAGTCCTCTCGCCCAACGTGCCCTAAAATCTGATCCCAAAACTGATGTCAAGGTGAAGAAAAGCTAATGTTACTTATTGTATTTGTTTTATAATCTCGTTCATAACCATAATTTGTCTTTTTTCTCAGCAGGCTAATGGAGGCTTAGATAGCGAACCATTGGAAAATCAGAACGTGAATGTAAGTGAAATAACTACCGCATTGTAGGTAGAATGGCACTATTGGCCATACCTTAATATAATGGAGAGTAGTTTTAGTGAGAAATAAAATTTTAAATAAGTTTATGTTTTTAATTGTTCCAGGTTTCGCCACTGGTAGAAGTAGAGCCGTCTTATATTATTGAGAACAAACCAATAATGATAATAGAAGAAGCATCCGAAGATCAGGCTGCTGACGGTGATGTTGTCAAACCTCAAGACAACAATGAAAACTGTCCCTCGGGTATGTCACTTATAATTTAGAATTTGAATTTAAATGGCATTTTTAATAGCAGGATCCCGTAATAAAATTTGCCACGGAGGGAGTTACAATAGTTCAATGATTAAATGATTATTCTGAATTCTGTATTTAATACTGTATTATTGGTTATAAGGTTATGGTAACGAGTTATGATAGAGTATTATAATATTTACTTTAACACGATTACTATCTAACTAAACAGCCGACTGTACACGGTTGCAGTCGCTAAAGCCCCTGACAACTTCGAATCTTGAGTTAGTGCTTTTTGGTCCGAAAACGACACCGTAAAGATTTGCTTTGCGTGCGCTAGATTTTGTAAAAATCAACTGGAAGTTGACTCATTGAAGAAGCCGGTTGCAATTACCCAATAAATTGGACAATAGACCAGTGGAGGGTGTCTTTATTAAATTTCTGTGATGAACAACATCAAAAAATATTCAAAGCTTTCTAAAAATTCGTGGCAATTCAGTTTTGAGTAGATCGCGGTGTTGGATTGAGCTCACTCTATTTGTTTATTTTTCAGAAATGAAAAGTAATGATGGCGATCCTCATGATGTACAGCAACAAAGAACGGATGATTCTAACGAACCAGAACATAGTCTTCCTAGTCGCAAAAACGGTAAGTAATCATAGATCCTTCGAATATTATAAACGAGAAAGTTTGGTAGTATAATTTTATAAGTCTTTGTTAGTCTTTATTATTGATTTGTTTTTAACGAAACACAACACAAGTGTTGTTTCACGCCGGTTTTCTGTGAGGCCGTGAAATCACTTCAGTCGAGCCGGTCCATTCACACCAAAGCATTTGTTTCTCACACTTAAAATCAGTTACTTAAAAATATTGTTATAGTCCTTCCAGAAATTAGAAGTCGTCCCCATACACCGGCGGTAAATAGCAGTCCTGCGACTCCTGGAAGCGTACAATCCAGTCGTCCTCAAACTCCGCGCATGCCCAGCCGCCCTACTACACCAGCACACCCGGTGCAACGCCAGTGCACCTCCACCAGCCGCCCCAATACGCCGCAGCGTCTTCCCACGCCGTCACGCCCTAAAACACCATCTCTGAATGTCCCGCCAACTTCAAGGGTCCTATCTCCGGCATCTATATGCAGCCCGGCGCGTAACTTCAAAGAAGACGACGATATAAAGTCGACATTCCTCGCGAAACAAAGGCAATTCCATCGCATGAAGAAAGAACTGGACATAAAACAGGTTCTTTAAATACACTTTTGTCATTTTATAACAGTATAATTTTATTTTCAACAAACTGTCGAAGATTTGCCAAAAAAAACCTAACAAAACTTATCTTTTTCCAGCAAGCAGTTCTTGAACTATTTGACAATTTACGTGGGTTACGAGAGCGCATGACACGAGAGGGCGTCTCAGGCTGTGGCGAGGGTCTCCAACTGCAGGAACTAGTGGTGTTCAATGTAGCGGATTGGACGTCAGATGAAATTACCCAGTTGTGTCGTGACGCTCTAGCTTCGGCTACTACCGACGGGGCTGTCGAACTAATCAATACCATCCTCCCTATTGGTACAGTTTGCTCTAATTAATAATCCTCTCACTCAGTCAATACTTAGCACGTTCGTCGTTTTCATTAATCTACTTTTTTAATAGTGGATACGTGAACGTCCCCTCTACTTTAATTAACATTTATGCTGTACAGATGAATGCACTCTTGCCGAACTGGATTCTAAAGTTACGAACGTGCCTGCATGTTTTGCCGATCTGTGTCTCCAGGCGTTTACGGCAAGACAAGAAATTATTGACTGGGTCAAGGAGCTCATCGAAAGGGGCGTAAGTTTGTTTTCTTTTCTAATTTTCATAAATATTTGTACACAAGTAAAGTGCAGACCTTCATAGCTTTAGACTTATAACGAATTATTTATTTAGGAAAGTGGTAATGATGAGGTTCTGCAACGTATTGCTCGTTACAATGCTCAAGGACTTGAACTCTGCGAGTCTCTCCGCGACATGAAATCCCGTGCTGATGACGCTGTTAACACTGTCACAAACCTGTCTAAGTAATATTTTTTTTATTTTTCGTCCTTATTTTACAGATTTTATAGCATTGTGATTTTATAGTGTATGTATTTACTGTGTATTAAAGGAAAGCCTGTCGAGAACGTAGTGCTTTAGTAGCTGTCGGAGAATCGTTGGTAAGAGAAATAGCACGACTTCGACAAGACTTGGAAACACATTCTGCTGCTATAACAGAATTGCAGGAAACCACCCGCAATGAATCTGACAACAGCTCCGCTGAAGTAAGTTCAATATGAAAAGTAATTGGTGTCCCTAGTCATATAATAAAATTCATTAACTCAATATATTTTTAACAGGAAATGCGTCGAGAGTTAGAGGAGGAAAAAGCTGCAAAGAACGCTACCAAAGAGAAGTTGGCGGCCACTGAAGTCCAGCTCCGTCAAGCTCGAATTCGTATTAATAAAATGGACAGGCAACTACGCGAGGCAGAAGCAAGCATTGCTAGTCTTACAGGCACTGTAAAGACATTGGAGGACCAAGTAAATTTTGCTAGTTAATCATTATTATTAGAAATCACCTTTCTTCAGATACTACCAAACTATTTTTAGAAATGTATAAATAAGTCAATCTACAATTCCATCGTCATTTATATTCATCATATTCCAGAGTCGACAAAGGGAAGTGCAATTAGAAGCTCGTGCGAGGAAATTAAAAGAATCATTAAAAACTGGAGAAGTAACCAGCAGTCAATTAGCGCAACAAAGGGACTCATTGCAAACTGAGTAAGCGATTTAGGTTTTATAGTAACATAGATAAGGTAGATCATAACGTATTTTCAATAACGAATAATAAATCTACAGAACTCAAGACTTGAAACAGCAAATTGAAACCTTAACCGCACAACATAAGACCGCTATACATGAATTAACTAATCAACTAAAAGAGTTCAAGAATAATTTGGAAGAACAATGTAAAGTTACACAGAAGGAAATCCAGCTAAAGGAAGCAGCTGAAGCTGCTCTCTTGGAGAGTCAAAATAGCATTGAAGAGTTAAAAGCGAAAATCACTGAACTGGAAAATAGTAGACCAAATCCCGGTAAGCAAATTTTCTTCTTTATATAAACATTCAGATTGAGTAGGGTTTATTAGTAGGTACATAATATTCTTGATTGATATCCTTTCAACATAGGCATTAGTATATAAGGCTAAGACTAATGTTTTTGGTGTGTTTCGAAAACTTGTAGCTTAGCGCACTTAAAATTACAGGACTAAAATCTACGGGTCTTATACATAATAGTAACTCAAGTTTCTGTAAGTGCCTTCGCGACAATTCTTCGTTCCATCAGGTGATATTTTATTTCAGATGCGCCAACGGAAAGAGAAATGGATCTTTGGGCTGAACTACAAGCTTTAAAAGATACTTTACGTATGACTGAAGATGAAGTGACTTCCTGTAAACGGGAGAAAGTGCGGTTTTTGGAGACTCTCACTAAAATAACTGTAAATATGTTGTTCTTTCTTTATGTGACTTTTTTATTATAAAGATTTTATTTTTTTATTATTAACACGTTAAGCGCCATAGCGGTCACCGGTGACCTCCGTTAGCGGAGGATTTGCCTTCAACATTTTTCTATCGGCAGGCAAAGGCTGGACAATCTACCGTCGTGGCTCGGCAACCAAAACATAGAAATAAAAATACATATTATGTGACAACATACCCTTTGAATGGATTGAACTTGTAAAATCTACTTGTAATCTTTAAATCAGCATATAAGTGCTTACTGCTGAGCAAAGGCCTTTCTCACACGAATATATAGTTGAGGTTTCCTCCCGATGTTTACCTTCACCGTATGTCAGTGGTGTCTAAATAATCATCGAAAGTACATTTAACTCGAAAAAGTCACATTAGTACTTGGCAGGTTTCGAACCCACCACGACGTTCTTACTTTAAATATTTGTGGTATTATTTATCGATTTTCTTTTTCAGTCTTTAATACCTGATAACTTTTTCCTCCATCAGTGAGGTGATTAAAGTTGTCTTTAAAGTTTGGTAACGTTTTGTGAACTGCTATTGAATCTATTTTGGGTTTCAGGAATCTGATAACAAGGTGGGCATGCAACAGAAATTGGCAGCCGAGCTTCTGAGCAAAGAAGAAATATTAGGAAAAATGCAAATACAAATTAGAGATTTAACCAAAAATATAAAATTGAAGTTAGTGCATTCGATATTAGTATACATATTGATATAATACTGATTGTGGCATATAAGTAATGTTTGTAAAACAACATTTTAGTGAACAAAAAGTTATCCAATACGAACAATATGTAAGAGATCTACAGGCGCATAATCGCGCCGTGGCCAACTGCCAAGAGGCTCCAAATGGTATCAGCTATCAAGACTTACAACAAGAGGTATTTACAAATGATTAGCTTAACTACTTCAGGGTTAGGAAGTTAATTTTCGAGTTATTTAAGATTTATTTCCAAAATGATTTTATTGATGAATTATATATCCAATGGGACAATTGCCTTTACTTTGAGGTCCTATGACGAAACTTCGCTCTTACCTTTAGTCTCGGTTTATTTACAGATTATGAACTTAAGAATGGGCCTTCTTGAGGCGGTGCACCGAAATGAAGAATTGTCAGAGCTATTGGTACAAAAGGAACAGCAACTAGAGCAACAGGATAAGACTTCACGTGCCCAGGCAAGAGTCATAAAGGTTACTAGGGTTCTTTTTGCAATCACAGTTGATAAAAGTACACTAGATATTAAAGAATCAAACAATATACGCAGTTACCTTATAAAGATAGTTTGTTCGGGTACATTAAAGAATTTAGATACACATTTACGCCATACCTATTTAGACGCTTAATTATCAGTGAGTATTTACTGTTTTCTTACTTATTGGGTAGTTTCCTAGGTCAAAAATACATATAAATGAATTCGACGTTTCAATACAATAAAATATTGAAAAATTCAACGTTTCAATACAATAAACTATACTTTTATTCATCGATCGATCGATATGTCGCAGGGATATGATAAAAACAGGGATTTGGCCAAATCCCTAAGGGATTTGATCAAATCACGGAGGATGTTAAAATAACAACAAGTTTTTATCATTTCCCTAAGCAAATCTAGTGATTTGAACAAATCCCTAAATTGATTTAGTGAAATGATAGTAAAACATGTCCAGTTCTTGTTTACGAAGTGTGGGAGAGCCATGCTTCGGCACGAATAGGTCGGCTCGACCGGAGTGATACCACGGCCTCACAGAAAACCGGCGTGAAACAACCACAGCGTTGTGTTTCGCTGTGTGAGTGAGGTAACCGGAGGCCCGTCCTTCTCCTCCCCCAATCCCTCCTTAATTCCTAAATCTCAAATCCCTAATCCCTAAAAGGTCGGCAACGCACTCGTAACTCCTCCGTTGCGGGTGTCCATGGGCGGCGCTGATTGCTTATCATCATGTAATCGGTCTGCTGATGTGCCGACCTATTAAAACTCAGTGACCACTGACAAACAAGTGCGAGCGCGACGCCTTAACTTAAACTTAACGTATGATACGTTAAGATATTGTACTTATATTTTTTTTAATTTTTGTTTATCTTTTTTCGAATAATAATATTCTAGTGGTGATTTTTGAGATTAACATTGCATTGTGATACACCTGATTATTATAGTTATGTAGGTAATCTTACAAAATAAACCTTAAAAATATCACAAAAGTTATTTTTGTCATTTCACTGAACCAATTTATGGATTTGTTCAAATCACTAGATTTCTTTAGTGAGATTTGTCAAATCACTAGATTTGCTTAGGGAAATGATAAAAACTTGTTGTTATTTTAACATCCTCCGTGATTTGATCAAATCCCTTAGGGATTTGGCCAAATCCCTGTTTTTATCATATCCCTGCGACAGATACACTAAATTTTTGATATTTACTAACTAATTATTAAGAAATAAGTAAGCTATTTGACGCAAAAATACTGACGTCATAACTCAGTGTTTCATACAAATTTCATAGAAAAGTATCGTTTTTGACATTTGGATAAAAGTATTGAATTTGACTAGTTGGAAACTACCGTATTACCTCATATTTTTGTACTTAAATGGTTGGATACGTATTTTGAAATAGTTATACTATTTAACAGTGGTTTGGATATGAATTGTTCATCAGAGATGTAGTTTTTACGTTGATTATAAACTAGTGAGTGACGCAGGTTCGCGAAGAGTTGATCAATATGCTGAAGAACAAAGAAACGGAGCAGAGCCGCGAGCTGGCGGCATTACAACAAGATCTTGAACACCGAATGAAAATTGTTGATGAAGTGAGCGTTCGCGATATTTTTTCTATGTTTTTTACCTACATCATAAACATTATTTTTGCCGGCCTTTGGGTGGTAAAGAAAAATTGTCTTATTTTAATACAACTAGACCTTTAATTAAACTTTGCATTAGCAAGAATTCCGTTTATCCTGCAGGTAAACAAGCAGATAGCAGCGAAAGCTGAAGAGATTCAGGAGCTATTCGCCACTTTAGAGAACAAGCAACAACAGATTCACAGACTAGAGAAAATAGTGTTAGCGCTAGAGGAACAACAACGGCGTGCGCAGGCGCAGCGGACTCGGCACGAAGAGAAGATTGCCGCACTTGAACATGAACTCGCTGCCAGTGGAAATCGACGAGAACGGTACGATCTTTTATTTTTATTATCTCCTTAGAATTTTTGGACATTCTCGAGTTTCCTAAAACTGCGACCAGCCACCGAGGGGCATGCAGCGCCAACCTTTAATTTTTCAGTGCGAACCTCAAGCCGCCTGCAAAGCATGGGAATAATGTGAAACCGAAGCAAACCTCCGCTCTCCAACGGGGTGGTCTCGGTTCTGTAAGAGACGTCTTACGGCTGATGATGACGATAATGACGATCTACTTGTTGCAAAAATATTAATGACGTTTTTGTTGTATATCTGCAATCAGATGGTATTATTAAGACGATATAACCACTTCCACTCTTCAAATTGAATTGGTCAGTTTTTAATAGTCTAGCTAAAAACATTTAAAGATATTATTATTTGTGAACATAGGAGATGGACGGGTTAAGCACAAAGGGCAAGAATGTATGAAGACTGGTACTCGTTCGATCTTTGAATAATAGGTATTGATACCCGGTCGCTTGTCTCAAGTTGCTATCACAACTATTCGGAATTTTAATTAGATTCCTGATTTGACAATTCCAGTGACGCAACGTTATGACAAGTACTAAATAGTGACGTTGCAAAATCATTCGATATGGAAATTGAATACTTCCGAATCGATTACCCTCGTAAACTAAATTTATCCGGAAATTAAATATTTCTAATCCGATAATTTAGTTTTGACAATTAATTAACGATCTGATACTTTTCTTTTATAATTGTGTGTGAAATTAATAAAAAATGTGATCTATTACGGTAATAATTTATTTTATAAATTGTCGCCGTCATGGCTATCGCTATCATTTTCTGTAACATTCATTATGAATTGTGTCTGTGATATTTATTGTCAACTAAAATATCTAGCTTACTAATTTTTTCCTCTTCTTTGACAACATAGGATACGCATTTAGACCATTCGGTAGCCGTAATTTTTTGAATGCCTTCCTGTAACTTATTCACTAATAATTTATCGATTTTTGTGTTCATCACTACACTGTTATGTGTGGTATCATTATTTCACAAAATGACAGTGGTTAATGTCAAATCTGGAATCGAATTAAAATTCTGACTATAGGTGCAAAAGGCAAGCAACAGTAGTGTACAATACTAGCCATGATAACCGTGTATAGCGGAAAACTATTTCCAGTCTACATAGGTATTTTTGTCGTATTTTGAAACAAAAGTATGCTTAAGCAGTTACTGATATTAAGTAAAACTAACTTCTATAAAGAATATTTTTCCCGGTATCGAATATCGAAAGTAGCAAAATATTTTACTAAGGATTAACTTAACATTGAGAACACTTACTGTTTCCGAACACAGGTTTATTCCTTTGCTGTTTAGGCATTATGTTTCTCTTTCAAAATTTCAAATATGTATATATAGCTCTTGTACGCAATTTATATTTGATCATTTTATATTTTTATTTAGAATCTGAACTATGGCTAAGTACCCGCTAAACTAACTAGGCATTAGATATTATTTCAATTTATCAGTCGATGTTCAAGCACTTAAGCCAAACACAAAGCTATTTAGTTACTATTTACTTTTGATAAAGTGGGACACACACTATTTATAGAATAGGCCTAGGAGCTATGACATCAATATTATCTATATGTATCGTATAACGTTTATTTTCAGAAGGTGGTTTTTCTAACTCAGTGTTCTCAGAAAAGTGACGACACAGAAAATTTTTCAGTGGCTCTCTCTAATGGTGAAAATTGTGAATGTCAACTGTTGTGAAAAGTTTTGTTGATTCGATTTTTGCGAATAAATTGTTATTTTTATAACGTCATATTGCATTTCATTTAACACCTGATTTGGCAGATTTTGACGATGTCTTGTTACCAATTTTCTTAATGTGAGTCGATTATTATTGGTATTTCTTGGAAAACCTCACTCAATTTAACAAATCATTATCCCCTGCTAACCAAAGAGAATATAGGCACTATGGCAGTATCCGACTTCCCTCCTCCATTATTTGCCATGCACACTCCCTATATTTTTATTTTTCTTCCTAGTGCGCTAGACTGCCCTCCGCTTGTACAGTAGTACCAACTTATCTGTGAACTGAGTGGTGGCGACACCGTCGCTTTAGTGTTGCAAATAAATAAAAATTACCCATGTTTGGTTACCCAAACATGGGTATGTCAAATAAGATGTAACGTTGCACGTTATTTTCTGTATTAATAAATAGTCGAAATCGCCGAAAGCCTATTTAAATCAAAAAATATTCATTTCAACGTAATGAGCCGTGAGCCGCGCGCCGCGTAGCTAACCGCGCCACGGAAACCGGTTTGGCGAACGATCCCTTCCACCTAGACTGCGACTCGCCGCCGCTGGTGAGAATATATACACTTCAGAGAGATCATACTGGCGACTACGCAACCGCGGACAGACGCTTACAGTCATCACAACAGTTTTTTAAATTCACATATTTTATTTAATTTATTTTCAAAAATCTATTTTAATAAGTATTTTAATTTATACAAATTAAATTAAATTCAGTGTTTACCCCAGATCGGGGTTTATGCACCTATTCAAGCACCTAATCCTATCTACTGTCCGAGTCGGCTGGTCAACTTTGACCTCGTGACCTTCGTGACCTTCACACAGAAGTCCCGGCATCATCGACGGCCGTGCTACTGCGGAGCTGCGAGCGACCTACCTACCCTACCGGCTACTGATTCAGGATAGTGGTGTTCTACTGGCGAACTAAAATTCGTTACGCGCTCGATATTCGAACTCACCCCGGCTTAACCGACACTACCTACCTACCTAATAAACCGTAACTGCCAAAAATATTCTTTTATTAAACTACCTACTAAAAAAAAACGTTACAAAGAAACAAGGTGAACATATTTAATTATTAAAATTTAAACAATACCCTCAGAATACAGAACAACAGAACTGTATTCTGAGACAATACCTAATATTGTTTCATAATAATAAAATGCTAGCATAAGTACTAAATAGTCCTCAAAAATATAATGGAAGTAGATACATATATTAGCTTTTACTCTAGCATTCACTTGATATAATTTAGATATTTCGTTTACAAACTACATGTTTAGAAAGGAAGTAGACAAAAAAATTAATAACTTGCAAATAAATGTTATGTTATAAAAAGAAATTCATTCAGATTTAGCAGATGTAAGCTTACCACAAAAAAATTAGTACTGACCCTCTCCAATTAAACAAAATTCAAATATTTTACACTCACTAGGACATGATTAAGTTAAAAGATAGAATAAAACACGTTTCATCATCATCATCAACCTACTACTAAGGCACGGGCAATCCTTAACAATTTATGCGAGGAGAAACAAAACAAAAGATTGCTTAACAATAATTTATTAGAATCCTGGTTTACAATAATTATGTTTTTCTTATGTACTTGTACGCCCAACTTTATCCTGGCTGTGAGGCCATATACCGCTTTTATCCGTGTCATCATTATCTTAACCCATATTGTAGAGCAGCTTTCGTAAAATTACGCTTTGTGCTGTGTAATTTATTTTGACGTTCCTCTCCTTTGCTGGGGTTTGAATTTTTGTAGCAGCTTCTTCTGCAGCATGGGTTTCTTTAACGATTCTTGAAATTAGCCCTTGACTCACACCTGAAATGTGAACAAAATTAATGAAGTATTTACAAACTGTAACTAAAAGATAAATGTAACTATGAGTAACGATTGTTTAAGCAGCTCGCGTGCTAATCGCGTGCCGTAAGAAGAACGCGGAAAGGAAGGGGTGTCGGAATTTTACACTAATCCTAAGCCAAGCCAAGCCAAGCTCACATTAAAAAGTAATCAATGAAAAAATATCGGGTAATTATCAAACACACAGTAGACAACACTTGCCTGTAGCCGAAGAAATTCGTTTGTTTACTTGATTAAATGGAGTAATCTGAGCCTCCACCAGAGCTTTTTATTCAAAAAAAGGCTTTGATGTAAAGAATAATGCTTCGCGCTTCACTTTTAATTGCTTTCAACACTGGGATGATATCGTTCCACTTAGAGACTCATTTTCAATCGACTCTACCAAGGTATAAACGAAGGATTCTGGGCATATTTTACGTTTAACACAACCGTAATACAGTTTAGTTTACATAGGCGAAAATCAAATCTGCGTACCTAATTTTTTTTCAGCACTATACAAAAAATACCTAAATGTCAACATGTACCTACCATTTGTCTCTTTTAACCGAACATCTCTCTAAATAGGATTTAAAAAATTTTGTGACTAACAAAACATCGTGTAGATATTTAACAGACTGACCAAAAAGGATTGTTCATTATGTTTTCAAGGTTCACACTGCTGGGCAGAATTAGAAACATAGCATATCGAATCCTTATATCATCCCAGGTGAGAGGCAACATAGGCTAGGTTGTGTTAAAAATAAATGACGTAGCAAAAGGCTTAAATAAAAAATAAGATAATTCAAAATAGTTCTCAAAGCAGCATGTGTTTAAGTTACAAAAATATATCACACTACTAGTCTATTTTGAGACATTTTCAAGAAAAACACATTTTTATTATTAGATTGATTTATTTCTTCAACGAGTAAGTACTTCTGTTTCGGATCCAGAGGGAGGAAACGCCCGAGTGTCGTCATTGTGATGACCACCTAGAGGATACGGTGGCGGTATGCCCTGCCTGGGCTGGGCTGAGCACCGCCGTGTCCTCGGGTAAGTGATCGGCAGCGGCAAACTCTCGCGCCCAGCCTTAGTCGAGACCATGGTTTGTAGCGAGAGGAACTGGGAAGCCGTCTCATCTTTTTGCGAAGCAGTGATGCTCGCAAAGGACATTCCAGGCGTCGGGGATCGAGAGATGATCTCCAGCCACCGTAAACGCAGGTCTGCGGACGGTGAGTAAAGGTGGATTCCCACGACCCGCTAAACGACAGGCATCGCCAGGCGCTGCCCCACCTGTGTAGACCTGTCGGGGCCTGTACCGACCGTTCCCACGGCATGTGTCGGCCTGTTGACTAACATTCCAACATGAGCAGTGATACGGAGCGCTTGGCTGCATGAGCGGCCGCTGTAGTTGACAGTATATTTATTAACGCAGCAAAAAGAAAGAAAAAGAAGCGACGCTGGTGGGTGTCGTCACGTTCGTCCACTCCATCATGTATTTATTTATTTATTAAGAATATTTACATATACAACATTACAGTATGTGCGAGTACATACGCACACGCGCGGCTGCAGATGAAATGAACGTTACAACCGAGACGCAGACGCGCCCGGACAGGTCGCGACAGGCACCGTCGTACCAGGCCGCGCCGCGCCTTTGAAAATACCGACTTCCGATGGATCGTCACGGGCGGCATCAGGCCACCGCAGGCCACATCGGATGCTACGGTTCCCATGGCCTGTCGGCCTGTCCCGGCGCGGCCTGGCCTGTGAGAAATCAGGCCGTGGGAACCCGGCTTAAGGGTAGCTCACCGCCCGTGCAGAACCAGACCCGAGCGTACGGCGAGTAGAGTTCCGCGCGCGCCTCAAAGAGCCAATAGACCACCACAGTCGGGGCCCAATAGGGCTGACGTTCAATTAAAGTCTGGGACTTTATGTTACTTCGAATGTCTAAAATGTCTAAAAAATTAGAGTAAAGTTACATAAAGTCTGGGACTTTATGTAATTCGAATGTCTAAATTGACCGGACTAGAGGAGGAACGGGGGGTTTTTAGTCAGTAAGAGTCACACTCTCTCTCGCCTTACCCTGGGCGGGAGAAGTCATTAGATAATTTTCTCCTGACAAAAAAAAAATCCAGTAAGTACTTGCGCAACTTTTCTTTTACGTGCCGATAGATGGCGTTAGTGGACAAATGCTACTAATTTTTTTTATATTATTGTGCAATTGCAAACGCTAACCTGTGTCTTTTGGTTTGAGTAATAAATTTAATAAGTTAATAACTTAATAATATTAATAATAATTGTTCGAATTTCGCACGTCACGCAGTGACAAACATATCTGCACTTAATTTACTTTTATTTTCATCTTGTATGCGTTTTTTTATGTATGTACACATACATGTTTAAGCAAATAAATAATCTTATCTTATCTTATCTTATCCGCTCACGTTGAATAATTTGTCATTAAAATTAGCAAAATAACAAAAAGAATCATAAGACATTTAAAATTTATTAAAAAGTCAAAAATTAGGATATCAATAACGTACCGACTGTAATATTGATTCGGTATGTAGACAGAATCAATATTACAGTCGGGAGACATATGATTAAGTTAATATCATACAGAACTGGCTCCTGACTGCAATCAAAAATGCGTTTCCTTTTCTCTTTATGGCATATTGGTATCCTTACTCATCTTCATTCTTATCCTTACTTATTAAACAACAAAGGCCGTGCTCGACTACTTTTTAAATTTATAAATATAGCAGGCGTATTTTTTCGTAGTCAATCTGTCTGTCCGTCCGCGGATAATCTCAGTGAACATAAGCACTAGAATTGTTTATTATGTTTTCGGGGACTCGGCGACCGTCGCGCTGCTACTGTCAGTAGCAGCGCGACGGTCGCCGAGTCGCGTGTCGCGGAATGCTGCTCATGAATATGGGCCTTTAGCATGGCTTGAAACTAGTCGAGTATCTCGTCAAATTATTACGTGAGTAAGCCGAAAACATAATAAATAATTTAGAATGTCTCACGAAAGTTATAATAAAAATAAGCACTAGAAAGCTGAAATTTGACACCAATATGACATTGTTGCATACATAGTTGTAAAATATGTTATTAGGGTGTTTATTAAAAAAACACTCCCTACTTTACGAGTAAGTAGCCTACAAGGCAGTGTTTTTGTTTTTTAATTTGACCCTAACGTGTGGTGTATTCTTAGATAGGTATTTAATAATGAATATTTTCGAAAAAAGTTGCTCCAAATCTTTAAGAAAATGCGTTACCCCCTCGTGCCCCCTCTAATTTTTGAACCAAACAGTATACATAGAATAGTCTCTAATTTTAGAAGCGCGACAGTCTTCGTCTCCAAATAATATCATAACTTATTTTGGCATTTAATCGTACCAAGTATTTTTTTAACTTTATTTGTATATTGTATTATATTATATCTTATTGTGAACGGCTATCATATAAAAAAAATGATTAAAATTGGTTAACGTACTCCAAAACCTTAAATATACAAAACCCAAAACATAGTTACCCAATTCCCTTAGAGATGGCGCTGTACTTTTGCTACTTCACGCCGAATTGCGGTGTTAAGATTTTTCTTGAGTTAATGTGGTCGGAACGAACTTGAACTTTAATATATATATGGTTGGTCTCTTGTTGGTTACTACATACAGTCAAATTTTATCTTGTCCTAGACTAGTTAATTTTCATATTATTATCTTTTATTGGTAAATCTACCCCTAACCCCATAAGAGGGGATGAAATTTAACCTTAGGTAGCTGAAAATCTGTACCTACACAGACTTTAGTACCAATGAAAAATGTGTACCATATTTTTACTCTCTTTTTTACATTCTACTTCTAGAGGGAAAAATAAAAGTAGGTACCTATGTCGTCTACAGAATAAAAAAATAAACTTCAATCGAAATTTTACACACGTTTGAAAATAAATCAATGATTATGGTACTGATGATTATCTTTACAATAGCATTGAATGAATTCGTACTCTTTATCTAAGGTTGACAGGGTAAATGTGGGGAAAAAACATCTAAAGATAACCTCAATTTTATTACTCAACCATAGATCAAATACTTAATAAATATTACCTATATTCACAATCCATTCTATATACCTCCCGCCTAATACAGTACAGTAAAATACAGCGTAAATACAAAATATACATAAGACTTCCTACCTAATTTTAGGTAATACATATAATTAATATTTTATGAATCTATTTTTAATTATGTTGCTAGTAGGTAAAATTATTTTTACTTACTAGCAACATTGATTCTGTCCAAACATTATAAATGCGGTACGATAATAATATTAATTATTTACACTGGCAACAATGCAGTGCAAAATTGTCCATGGTTGGTGATTTCTTGTTAGGTATTGAGTACTTAATATTGATATGTATGTTTAAAAAGCACTTTAGACCTTGGTATATGTATGTATCCTCTTTTGCACTTTGTCTGCAGTAGCGGTGCGTCCGTTGTGCTGGAACGACTTCCAGTGTTGTGTTGTGCAATTTCTATAAATAGATTAAAGAAAATTACGAGGAATGTGAGTATCTAAGTACTTACTTAATTTGTTTTTGCTAGAAGACATGTGCATCTAGATAAAATCCATTCTTGTCCTAATAAAAATGATTAACAGCCAATGTGTTTGCATGGATTCGCCGTCCTTGTTGCACAATCTCGTTATAGAATGTGTAGAAAATCGGCGCGTGCGCAGCCACTTGTTTTTAAGATGTGGCGGCGGCCGGCATCGAAATAAAAATTGCGTGGATAATAATTAATTTATCACAATACTAGCCTTTCATACGAGTTGTAGATGGTGCGTCCTTCCTAATTATTGCAACTGAGATTTTCTTAAAGCAAAAATACTTCATAACACTCCGCTTAAATTATTATTAAATGTTTGAATGTGCCTAATGATCTAAGTTCCTATTTTGTGATTATTTTGTTGACGCATTTAACATAAGATAATCAGATAATAATTTAGTATCTACAATAGACAATATGTCTAAAACTGATATTGTTAAGATCACAAATAACCAGGTCACTTAGCATTACGTCACCTTCAAACAAAAGAAAAAGAAAGATCAATAATGATTAGGTATTATATTATTTCAATCAAATATGTCATTTATCAACCAGCCTATTTCAATGTCCTTTTTTGACGGGGAGTATCACCAAATCACGTCTTCCACCGTGGGTCCCCGCCCAGATAGGATCATAAGTATCAGATCTCACTGATTAAAAAAACCAACCTGTTCGTTCTCCTGATCCGAGCTGGGACCGTGGTACATATTTGCGCTTGCCTTGCAAACCCGACTGAACATTGGCCCTATTAGGCCCCATCTGTTGCGGTTTACTGCGGCTTGGCCTTGGAGTAGGAGAAGGAACGAGGTGATTTTTGGTCAGACCAAGAATGACTCTCGTCAAAAGCGTTGCATCCCGTTTTGTTATTTAAGTATAATTAACGTATACCTACTTACTTATATATTTTTTTAGATAAAATGACGGAATTAAATCCAAACATACATCTTGAAATGAATGCCGTCGAATTACAGCAGGAGTATTATGAAACTATCGGTGATGCTGATTGGGAACTGTAAGTGTAAAAAATATCACTTTTTTAATGCCTGATACTAGAAGTAGGAGAGCCATGCTTCGGCACGAATGGGTCAGCTCGACCGGAGTGATACCACGGCCTCCCAGAAAACCGGCGTGAAATAACCACAGCGTTGTGTTTCGCCGTGTGAGTGAGGTTACCGGAGGCCCAATCCTTCCACTCCCCCATCCCTCCTCAATCCCTAAATCTCCAAATCCCTAATCCCTAAAAGGTCGGCAACGCACTCGTAACTCCTCTGTTGCGAGTGTCCATGGGCGGCGCTGATTGCTTACCATCAGGTAATCCGTCTGCTCGTTTGCCGATCTAATTACATAAAAACAGAAGTTCTTCTGCAGTAGGAATATTGCGTTTACATCTGGCACACTCATATTAGATTCAGGCGTTTAATCTTTAACAACCTGGCTCACAAATATATTATTCATCTAGCAATTCAATTCTTCATCAGTAAACGCTAGGTAACCCTGCGCCGAGTGTGCGGTCATTCTTATTAGACCTTCGATGATCGCACTTCTTGAACTTTTACCGTTTATAAGTTTCATATCTCTAAGTACCTAATATACTTTGTTTGGAAGTATTTTAATAAACCGTAAACTAGCATCAGTTATTTACAGGGTTAGATCCCAAACTGCTGATGCAGCTACTTCTTCGTTAAGTACCTAGTTAAAACCTAACAATTGTCTACAATTATGAAGACAATCACATAATCACAATACAACTATGAAGTCGTGGTTAAAACTATAATATATATATATATGTATATATATATATATATATATATATATATATATAAATATATACATATATATATTATATATATATTATATTATATTATATATATATATATATATATTTGGTACATTTGAATACGTATTTATACATATATATTATGCGTACAGCTGAAGTTTCATTCATCTTAAGGAAAATAAAGTTCTTTGAACCATTCTAAGCTATCTAGGTACTAATATTACTATCTACTGATATTAAACAAATATACATATTCTGTGGAAATAGCTAAATTAAGTATTCAACCCAGATGCGGGGGATCTATAGATGTGTGCAAGGAACAGACTACACAAATTATATAGTCACCATTTATTCTGCAAAAAAATATTTTCTACTATTTGTAATAGACGAAACTCAACTATTAAAACATCCTAAGTTTAATAATTTCGTCGATTTCAAAGATTCGAGAAGAAGGACAGAAAATACCTTCTGCAGAAGGTAGCGGTTGCTCTTTGCGGACCACCGACAATTGAAGGCAACTTAATGGAGACTGGGAATGACAGTGACGATCTCAAATTGCAAGGATACGAAGCTGCAGACGAAGATACATGCATGAATGTTTTTAATCGGATCTTAGAACAAGGTGATTTATTTATTTACCAATGGGTAAGGTGTGCGGCAAGTACCAATTTACTGTGCACACATCTTTCGGCAATTACATTATTGTGTACGCACAAAATAATGGGGCATTAACAAAAGAGGGTGTTTTGAACCGTTCACAATTCTCAATACTTCACAATACATATTATTGTAGTTTCGAACAATTGTTTAATTAAAAGTGAGAATAGTTATTTTGAAGTTGCATAAAGGACTGTCGATTTACATTTCTTTTTTTTCAGCAAAATATTCACACAACGGCGAAAATATAATAATATCTGTCCTACGTGTGGTCTGCGTTATACCAAGAAGAGAAATCAAATTTTTCGAAATCACACCCAACGATTATTGGCTCAATCTTCACGTGAAAAAAGGAGACTCTGTTCACATTTTAGTCTTTCACGTGTTCAGTGTAAGAAAATGCATTTCTATGAATCACAAAGGTAATCTTATTTGGCAAACCAAATCATTATTCTATTAGTCTATTTTATATTACTAACAACGACAAAAAATATTTTACAAAATTCAATTTAAGAATAATTTGGAATTACAGTAAAAGGGTGCCGGGTATTTATCGACCACGATGGCAGAGAGTATCAATCTTGGGATGATTACCTGACCAACAACAAACTTCCGAAATGTGTGATGGTGGTTCCTCAAAACGGAGAATATTCTGGAACGATCGTCGAAGGGGTGAGCTAATCTTATTTTCTTATTTTTCAGAAGTGTCGGATTTTTAAAATTTTTATAAGTTAAATAAAATAGTAAGTACTTAATGTTTTATAACCTAAGAAATGCACTCCAACCTATTAATCTTGTCGGCTCAAGAGTGGCCTTGTCAACCAAAATACCATAATAACTTATCCAGTAATTTAAAAAATCTATTTAAAAGATATAAATATATAGGTATAGTTACCACTATGACGTAAGAGAACGTCATATATATAAATACCTAAATTATTTGTCATCAGGAAGGTGAAATGCTGAAAGTAAACCTGACAGTTATAGGTTCCCCAGAGCTGGGTACTCAAGCACAAGTGATAAATGCTGCAGACAAAATAAGTACAGGTATTCCAGAATATTATTCTTATAAATAATAAATATTTAGGGAGTTATTCCCTAAGATAAAGGTAGATTAACATTAATATTAGAATGTTAAATAATTGTATTCCTTTCACTACAACACTTAACTATTTACATCATGTTTTATACTTAATCCTGAAGTCTTAAGGTTTGTATGTTTGAAGTTCGATTCCTCACATTTCGATCTGTTTTGTTTTTGATAGTTATTTACTAATGAAATATTAGGTGTGTAGTTATAAACAGAAAGACCTTCTTTTCACACACAAGGTTTTATTTCACAATGATATTTCCAGCGGCTAATGTGGGGGCGGTGGTCGCCGTGGTGGGGTCTCTGTTCGCGGCTCCCGCCGTAGCCCCGGTGATGGTTGGAACAGCAGTGGGAGTTGCCACCGTGTCAGGAGTTTACGGCATCGGAAGGTCGATCGGGACTTTAGTTGACAGAGCTCAGCATAAGCAGGTAAACATAGATTTATAACATGCATGGTAAATTATAAAATTTCTACATTACCTATATTTTGTCATGCCTGCATAAACGTACCCCTTGGTGCCATTGGCTGCTCAGAATGGTATCTAAGAGTTATTATCACATGCATTCATCTAGTTTTAAGCTTCATGGGACCTTTACCACTAAGTTCTGAATGTGTAAATCCTTCTTGCGGTTCGCCCCGAATGAATTTGTTAAATAATTAAGAAACCGAATATAAGTGATAGCACACACACACATCACACATCATCAGCCTATAAGTGCCCACTGCTGAGCAAAGGCCTCTTCTCACACGGAGAAGGTTTGAGCACTAATCACCACGCTTGCTGAAGGCGGATTGGCGATTTCAAACTTATAATTAATAATTATAAGTCCAGGTTTCCTCACGATGTTTTCCTTCACCGTATGTCAGTGGTGTCTAAATAATCATAGAAAGTACATACAACTCGGAAAAAGTCACATTGGTACTTGCCAGGTTTCGAACCCGCACCCTCATGCATGAGAAGCGGGCGCCTTAACCTCCAGGCCACCACGACAGAGAGAGCTAAGTGATAGCACTAGTGGTTTTTCCCCGCGCGGGTAATTATAGTAGATATTGCAATAACACGTAATGTGGTTAAAAACCGCAAGGGCTTTAAAGGTTTTGTGTTTTCGTTTTAGAGCATTGGTTTAGACAACATGGAAGCTCGTTCTAACTGGATAAATATTATGATATCTACTGCCGGTCTCTCCTTTACTGCAGCTGGCAAACTCTTGACTTGGGCTGCGGCGACCGGAAGAAATGTCAAGGTATTATTACCTAGATAATTTTCAATTTGATGTGTATTTAAAGCCCATATTACCGTTTCAGTTTTAAAAATATCAAATAACCAATCAGGGTCTCCAGAGGATGACCTAGTAAAAAGTTACACGAATAATGTCGAATTATTATTATATTTTTTCAGATACTAATGAGTGCCTTAGACTTTCTTAGGTTCACTAATATTGCGTCTGGGTTTATTGGAGTAGCCAACGGCCTAGGAGACATGATCTATAAGGTTTGTAATAAATGAAACAATTTTTTTTTACCATCAAACGAGTTATAAAGCTAAAGGCGAGTGAAACCGAACGAAAGAAGCTAGTATTTAATATAATTCGTTATACTATAATATTATAGAGTTATGTACCTATAGTAAATACTTTACATAGAAGATATTTTTTTGTTTTCAGTTCAAGAGGTATGGTACGACACCCTCCACGCTCGAAGTGTTCCAAGTCACAACATCCTTCCTTTTCCTTGGCATTGGAGTGATGTCAAACCAAACTGCACAGGAAATCGTCCAAGACGCACAAGCTAACAAAATAAATGAAATCCGAGAATCTTTATCTAGCAACAACAAAAGGTAAGCATTTTTTTATTTTTTTTTAAGCCACCTATGACTCAATTTCACTTCTCTCACAATAACTTGTAACAAATCAATTTTATATTTCAATCAAATTTATTTAATAATTACAGGAAAATATTTGATAAAATAACGGCAGAAACCCGGAGATTAAAAGGCCCTATAGATGGCAACGCTGATGTCATTAAAGGTCTTAAGACAATAAATAACAAGGACGAATTCTTTGGAAAACTAAAGTATATGAACAAAGCTTTTAATAAAAATAAAGTAAGAATATCATTGGGTTCAGATGGAAAAGTGATTATAAATAACCAACACAAAGTAAGTCTCTCGAAAATATACAAGATTGGTCCTAATGCTCGAAATCAATTACTAGCGAAATACGGACCTGCGAAGATAACCAGCAAGAACGTTCCAACAAGAATATACCCCTCGCACGTGGTGGCTGGCAACTCAAACGCACCAGCCTCAGAGCTGGGGTGCACTATTCGATCCGAAGAGATACTCAAAATTTCAGCATTCCTCATTAATTTAAGTAAAGCTGACGAAGAATTTATTCTAGATTTACTTTCCCTAATATCTGAAGATTTACACCAGGCCTTTTTGTTCTTATGTACTGAATTGGTCAGTTCATTAATTCCCGTAGAAATACAGTTACTAGAATCGATTTACCCTGATTGGAAGAGGCGGCTGGTACTCTTTATATTTTACTATTTCAAGTCAAAAATAACTGATGATATAAATGATAGTGTGTTTATGGCTGTCTTGAAACACTACATACGTGAAGGTAAAATTGACAATGAAACCCTCATAATACTTAAGAAGACAATTATGGAATATTTTATAGATCACACAGAAGAAGAACGAGCAGACAATAACTCATGGAAAGACATTGACAATTATATGAAGATGTATTTTGGAAATTTGAAAATCTTAAAAGTTGGCCAAGAGCTGGAAATAGGACCACATAGAATCTTGGTTAAACAAATTACAGTAGATAATTTGGAAACAGGACTTGCTAAATATTCGCAGAAACAATGCGATGTATTAATGGACCTTTGTTTAAAAATTATTTCAATTTTAAGCAAGGAAGAGGTGTGCTGGTTGAATTATGTGAATCCAGATGAAGACATAATAATGAGAGTGACCACTTTCCTTCTACAAAACTTTAACGAGTATGTAGGGCAAAGATCGGAGGTCGATGATAATACGCTTGCTACGGCAACATCTGATCTTCTTGCGTGGCGTAAACTTCAAAATGTTAGAACGCGGTACAACTGCGAGAAATGCAACGGATTATCTTATGTTAAAAATTAGTCTGCGGAAAAATATGGCACGTGTATATAGTTTACTGTGTATCTAATTGACTGCGTGGGTGGCGAAGTACAGACAACGCTACATAGTACCTACCTTCCCATGCAATTTCATGTTAAGCGTTTGTGATAGGGTAAATTCGTCCATAAAACGTAGTTGTAGGCAACATTTGAAACAGCCCAAAAGAAATTGAGGTGCCTTATTTAATTAAAATATTGTACCTAAGTATTTTTTATGTGATAGTCTCAGAATACAGAACAAATAGTTCGGCTAACGAGTTAACGCATTCTATCTGATGGTAAGTAATCGTTGCCGCCCATGGACACCCAAACACCAAAGGAGTTACAGGTGCGTCGTCGCCCTTTTGGGAATTATGGTTCCAAAGATTTAGGGACGGGGGAGAGAAAGGATTGTGCCTCCGGTAACCTCACTCACACGACGAAACACAAGGCGTGGTTACCTATTTCATGCTGATTTTCTTTGAGTCCGTGGCATCAGTCCGGTCGTACAGTACAGACTCATTCGTGCCGAAGTAGGCGCTCTCACAAAACACACACAACGTATGATATAGTTATATAAGTTTTAACGTTAAAAGTAAAAATAGAATACCTAATATTAACTAACAAGCAATTGATTATATTTTAAAGATATGTAAGATGGTAAACTAAATAAAATATGTACCGGTGGTATTATTTTGTTTTATTTTATACAAGATTCGTTTCGGTTTCAAAATAATAGATTTTAGGCATCATTATTGTACCTACGTATGAATTTTGTCTATTAAATATTCAATCGATACTTTTAGTATAGGTAATTTTATGTTCACTACCGACATTTCTAGTACTTAAACACAAACTTACATCTCAATATTCATATAGTGTGGGAATGAAATCGGCTACTGCTTTTCTACCAAGGAATATAACTACTCTATACGAAAGAAGAGAGATATATTATAGTTTTCATTACTAAACTTCTCGGCCTTACAATAATTTTAAAATACGTACACTAGAATATCATAGCTTAGATATTATGCAAAGAGTATGTAACCACTACTTTTAATATTATGTAGTTGTTTTATGCTCAGACCAATGAAACCTAGGTTTCATTTTTATGTCAAAGAGTAAAGTAATATTAGTATGGTCTGTGGTTACTGCAGTGTTACAAAGAGTATCTGACTTTTTGGCGGGAGTTCAAATATAGCGCATGAAAAGTTTTTTCATTTGTGATTTTTTTTGAATCTAATATTTTATTTCATTGTAAATTGCATGTAAATAGTAAAGTGTACATAATAGTGTATTAAACATGGATGTTGGCGAGGGCGGGGGCCCAAAACCCCCGGCCCCAAAAAAACATAAACTTAAAGACTTGGACGATGGCGGCGGGGGTAAGGAAAGTGATTTTTTACCCTATCTAAAACCCGGATACAAAAGACTTTATCCAGAAAACTCTTCAAATTTGGAGTTCAAAGTTTACGTGCAGGGTGAAAAAATTGGCAATAAAAGTCCAACCTTTTTAAATCATATATTTGTAAATGAGGTAAAAGGTGTAGTAGCGATTCGTAGAATCAATGCTAACAAGATTGCGGTGGTGTTCAAGCAGTATAATACTGCTAATAATTTTCTATGTAACTCTTCATTTCTGGAGAAGTACAACTTTAAGGCGTTCATACCAGCGGCAGACATAGAAAGAACAGGAATTATCCGATACGTACCCACAAACATCTCTAACAAGGAGCTTTACTCAAAGCTAGAGTCGGAGTACGAAATAATTGCAGTGCGACGATTCACCAAGAAGGTTGGACAAGAACGGGTACCACTTAATACAGTGAGCATTACCTTTCTGTCCAGTTCTTTACCACAAAATGTACAATATGACTTATTCTCTTACCGCATTTTTGACTATATCCCTCCTCTACAACAATGTTACCGTTGCTTCAAATTTAACCACTCAGCCAAAATATGTAATGGCAAACAAAAATGTAGCATTTGTGCTGGGGACCACTCATATAGAGAGTGTGATAACCCCTCAGCAATCTGCTGTGCTAATTGCGGTGGACCACATTTAGCAATTTCAAAGGCATGCGAAATCAAGTTAAAAAAGATAATGGAAAAAAAGGAACGTATTACTTACGCTAGTAAGGCTGAAACTAAACTTAATGTGACTCAGGGAGATTTCCCACCATTGCGCAAACCAAGACCTCAGGTCAATGTAAATAAAAATTCTGTTGTAAATAAAAATGTAAATTCTGCACCTATAAATAATGTACCTGTAAATACTGAACCTAAAATAATTTCTGTTGCTGATGTCAAGGCTCAACTCCTGGCAAATAATGACTTACTTAAGGCCATTGTTCGCACACTCATTGTAATCGCCAATAAGGGCAAGGATGATCCTCCAATCAATACAACAACTATTAAAGATATTCTACTGGAGAATCTTACATAATGGATATAGACTCCAATATACAATCTCAGCTATGCATTGCTCAGTTTAATATACAAAGTGTATACAGAAAAAAGCCCTTACTCTTAAAGTTTCTTAATGATAAAAATATTGATATTTGCCTTTTAAATGAAACGTGGATTAAAGATAACAAACCTTTCCACATTCCTGAATATAATATACATTTCAAAAATGCAGCTAATGAACATGGGGGAATAGCTATCCTCATAAAACATAATTTAAAGTATACAACTTTACAAACCACATTTTATGAAGATGTACAAACTGTTGCAATTTCTCTTTCTACAGAGTTAGGTGACTTATCTATTTTGACTGTGTATTGTCCACCACACAGTGGCCATACTAGATGAAACAAATTGAGAAATATCATAAAAGAACTGCCCAAGCCAGTGTTCATTTCAGGAGACTTTAATGCTCATCATATTGCTTTTGGCTGTGTAAGCACCAAGGGCAGAGGGCAGCAACTATATGATATAATTGATGAGTTGGATCTATGCTTGTTGAATGATGGCAGTTTCACAACAAATAATCGGCCTAATTGTAACCCATCAGCTATTGATATCACTTTTACAAGTGCAGTTTTAGCACCACTGTGTGATTGGACTGTACATGATGACAGTATGGGTAGTTATCATTTCCCTACAATTACAAATCTTACTTTAGCTGTTAATAAATATCAAACAAATCCTCCAATAGAGAAATTTTTATACAAAAAAGCAGATTGGGTGAAGTACTGTGAAATATCTGAAACTTTATTTAATGATATCAATGTGGATACTGAGAACCCTTTGAAGTCATATAATACCTTCTGTAATAGACTTAGCTCTTTGAAGTTACTTTGCATCCCAAAGTATACCAAGACTAGTTCATATAGAAGTAGGCCACCAGCGCCATGGTGGAATGAGAAGTGCGAACAAAGCGTCATTAAGTCTTATCAAGCTTTAAAATACTATAGAAGTAATCCTACAATGGATAACTACATTATATATAAGAAGTTAGACGCCTTGAAAAAGAGAACCATATCTGAAGAAAAGAAAAATGGTTGGCGCAATCTCTGTGAGTCTTTTAATAGAAATACTCCTATCAGTAAGATTTGGAACTATATTAAAATGTTTAAGGGTAGGAAAACTCATAATAAATCACTTTCTGATGAATTTGTTTTGCCACTCTTAGATAAACTATCAGATAATGGATCTGATGGTATAGTTGATGTTGATATGTATTTTAATATTAATAATGATAATAATGAGACACAGTTTTTAATTGAACCTTTTACATGGCATGAGTTTAATATGAGTCTTCATTCCCGAAAAAATTCTGCGCCTGGATTGGACAACTTTCCTTATATTTTGATAAAACATTTACATATATTGGTGCAAAAATTGTTTCTGAACATTCTTAATGCACTTTGGCTCCATCAAGTAATTCCACTGTCTTGGAAAACACAATGTGTGATACCAGTGCTTAAACCAGATAAACCAGTCAATGATGCTAACTCATATCGACCTATTTCATTATCATCCTGTCTTGGAAAAATTTTTGAGAACATGGTTAAGATTCGTCTTGATTGGTATGTGGAATCGAAGTGCATTATCCCAACTATTCAATTTGGCTTCAGAAGAGGCAGAAGTTGTGCAGACAGCTTTGTTTCTCTTATCTCAGATCTGAAAAGAGCAAGAAATAATAATGCTAGTGCAGTATGTACCTTTTTAGATGTACAGGGGGCATTTGATAATGTGCAACCTGGTATTTTTATTAAAATTCTGTCTGATTTAGGTATTCCAGGAAAATTTTGTAAATGGATATACTCTTTCTTAAATGAAAGAATACTATATGTAAAACACAATAATATTTTACATGGTCCTAGGCAAGTGTCAAAAGGAACAATGCAAGGGGCAACTTTGTCCCCATTGTTATATAATATATATACATCTCAAATTTGTAAATATGTAAATATGGATAATGTAAATATTTTGCAGTTTGCTGATGACCTTGTTGTATATAGTGTACATAATGATATTGATTTGGCAATTGCTAATATTAATAATGCTCTTAGTCAATTATATCACTACTACAACAATAAACTTCGATTAAATATCAATCCCAACAAAAGTAATGTAATGTTTATAAAAAAAGATTTACCTAGCTTGTCTGTGTTATACGATGATAAAGCAATTCCTATAGTAAGCAGTCATAAATTTTTAGGTGTGCAAATTGATAATAAACTGACATTCCAAGGTCATATCAAGTACATTTTACAAAATTCTTTGAAAGGCTTAAATATCATGAGGTGTTTGGCAGGAGTCTCCTGGGGAGCTGACCCAGTTACTCTTGCTATTTTGTACAAAGCCATTGTAAGAAGCCATTTTGATTACAGTTGTCTAGCCTATATTGATTGTAATTATGTACATAGATTAGATATAGCACAAAACAAAGGTCTGAGGATAATATCTGGCGCCATGTGCTCAACTCCCATCCGTGCCATGGAAGTTGAGACAGGGGTGATGCCCCTTAGTATAAGAAGATATCTACTTGCTCAAAGATTTTCTGTAAAGCTATTTGCAGCTAATAATAATGAAGTTTTAAGAAGAATTTTACCTCAGTATCCAGTAGTTCACAATGTGTCTGGTGTGACTGGGGCTGGCCTTCACTGTCATATTATCCCAGATTTATCTCAGGTTATCCTGGAAGCACATTTTAAATTTTAGAATATAATTAAAAGTTCTCATTGGGCATGTTACTCCACAAAGTACAAGATATTGTTATTTGAAGTCTCAATAATAAATACAGTAGTTAGTAATAATGAGGAGTTATTAAACTTTATTCACCTTAACAGTCACTATTATAGACTTTATACCGATGGCAGTAAGGGTTTGTCTCATGTTCGCAGTGCTGTTTATGATCCTCAAATTCAGTTTTGTCAAAGCTTTGAGCTTAGTCTTTTATGTAGCATATTCACTGCAGAGGCTTATGCAGTTCTTGAGGCCC